AGTTTCATTTTCTACAGGAGCACAGTGTTTTTTAAAAGCTGCTAACACTTTATTGTAATCCTTCTTGTCATTATCATTGAGCCCAAGTGTTTCAAATACTATTTGTGCTTGTTCCCCGGCAATATTTAGGAATATCGCCACTTTTGTCTCACTGTCTTTTGCGTCATACCCTGTTGCTTTCATATAATAGTTAAAACTATTATTAAACTGTTGAAAATTCTTATCAACATGGTCATCAAACCTTAAACTGCTAGGCGGTTTAAAAGAAGTCATTTTCTAAAACTTGCTCAACTATATTCTAATGCTTGCCTTCTTGTTGAACTATTTTCCAGCCCTCTCGTGCTTGTGTAATTTTTCAATATTACTGTCCGTTAATCACACTGTATTTCTTTATAGATTTTCATCTGACACCATGTGGTAAATGGAAACACTAGTAGTTCTTTATATTTAAGTTTATTAACAGAATTATGTAGACGCGACACATCAGCTGTCAATGCTGTCTGTCTAATGCCCTGCCCTCTTATCCTATTATGCAATATTCCAAAGTTAAAAGAAATTGTAAAACTAAACCAATTTTTAAGGCATGATTGTAAGAAAACGGTTCATCTGACGGGAAATTCCAATTAAACCTTTTTTGTAGAACATTCAATTTTCTTCAAAAAATATTCTTAAGTCAATTTTGTTAAACTCAATGATTTGGGAGTTCTGAGACAAAAACTCGCTCAGGAAAAAAAAATCTTAATATTAATATTACGGACTCAAACTTTCACAATATTTTTTTTTGTCACCCCAAACCATATTTTCGATATACTTTTCAAAAAAAAAATAGTTGATTTTTTTGGCCCAGTCTATTGAACCTACAATTGTAACTTGAACTTACAATTGTAGGTTCAAGTTACAATTGTAGGTTCAAGTTACAATTGTAAGTTCAAGTTACAATTGTAGGTTCAAGTTACAATTGTAGGTTCAAGTTACAATTGTAGGTTCAAGTTACAATTGTAGGTTCAAGTTACAATTATAGAATAGAAATTGCAAAAATCAAAGTTAGTTTTGGCTAAAATTTGAAAAATTTTTGGTGGCCCTTCTACGCCTTCGTACTTTAAGGATATTTTCTCAAAAAAACCTTGAACCCATAAACTGATATATAAGTTAAAGTATTTTTATCCAAAATTTTATAAAGATTGGTAAAGGCGTTTTAGAGTTGGATTTTTTTACTTGTTATGCGTTAATTTTGACGCGCATTGTATATGCAAAAGATTTGCTTTAAATTTTACAAGTAAGGTTAATATTATGTTTAATCGTGTTATTTTTATTTCATATCGCCTATTTTAGGCGGTTGAGGCCTATTTTAGGCACTTTCGGCCTAAAACGGCCTAAAATGTAGGTTTTTTATGCCTATTTATGTGTCCTAATTTCCAATTTTTAAGGGCCTAAAATCAGGTCTTTGGTTATTAATTATACAAACGCGAATTATTTGTCTTGAAAATGTTTATGTTTATAATATTTAAGGTGGATTTAGCCAGCATTTAATGTAACGTAACGTAATTTAAAGGCAGAATTTGTACCATTTATACAACATTTAGTACATGTTTGTAAGCATGCGCAATGCAGACGTGTTGGTGTTTTAAATCCGATGTTGGCAAGACTGTGGTTGACTGAATGATAATTATCTTTATTTTTAACCATTCGATAGGAAATTTTATTGTTGCATATACGGTTGATATTAGGGCGCGCAAGTGCAGATTCATTTCCATGTAATATAATTTAAGTAAAGTACTAAAAGTTAAAATTTGGCCAACTTTCCATTACATTACGTTACGTTTAATGCTGGGTACACGCGCCCATATGGATATACTGTTTTATCTTTGAAATTAAATTACGTTACATTACATTACATTAAATGCTGACCAAATCCACCTTTAAAGTTTTCATGCTTTTTAAGCAAGGCAATGACGTGACGTCATTTCGTAACAAAAAGGTTCTTATGGTAATAAAATTAATTGTAAGACGTCACATTAATATTATTAAGTAATTTAAAATTCCAATAGGTTTGTTGCATTATTAAATGATTAAAATATTAATTTATTTTGCTATATTTTACAATAAAATGGGTTATGTTTTTTTAAATATTCCAAGTCTAAAACGTAAACATTTCTTCGTAAAATGTTTCTCAAAGCATTTTGATTTTACTGGCAACGCGTCCAATTTTGTTAGTTCGTTGAACTGTTTGCTTAGAAAAAGAATTGCATTAGGATTATTCTTCGGATGTAAATTAAAGTAATTTATAGCGAGGGTATTTGCAGGTGTTACATAACACGATATACCAATCTATTCGATTTTTTGTACAAATATATTACTAAATGAATTAAACCAACACTATATTCAAGTAAGTAATAATAAGTGAAAATATTGAATATAAAGATAAAACTTTTAAAGGCACAAAATATATAAAAGCCGCATTACACGACGCAATTCTCAGGCAATGGAAGACGCGAGCAATAAAGTTTTCATTTGTACGCATGCGTCGAGGCAAGTCGCAAGACGAAATAATTAGAACGTGTTCTATTTTACGAGCAAGAGCGCTTTAATTCCAGTAGTTTTTTTGTATTTTATAAATTTCCAACATTAAAAATGGTATATTCTAGCTCTAAACCTTGTACGAGGTGTGTTCAGAAAATATCGGGAATTTTCGTTTTTTGAAACAAATATTTATTTATTCGTCTACATTAATGTTGTCGCCTTCAAAATAGACCCCATTGGATATTATGCACATGTGCCAGCTCTTCTTCCAATACTCGAAACACTTCTAAAACTCGATCTTTGGGATAGCCTTTAGTTCTTTCAGCGATGCGCTTTTAATGTCATCTATACTTGCAAAACGACGGCCCTTTAAGGTTCTCTTTATTTTTGGGAATAGGAAAAAGTCAGACAGAGGCATGTCTGGCGAATATGGAGGCTGAGGCATCATTACAGTATTGTTTTTGGCCAAAAATTTTGTTCAAAATTTAACAATTTTAGAACAAATTTTGCTGCAACGCGTTTCATACCCAAAACATTCGAAAAAATTTCATGGGATGAACCAATCGATATACCAACATCATCAGCGACTTCTCTGATGGTTTATAACCATTTCTTCCACTTTTTCCATGTTTTTATCGGTTGTTAATGTGCTTGTGCGTTCGGGGCGTTCGTCATCTTCAACGTCTTCACGGCCATCTTGGAAACTCTTATACCACTTGTTTTACTTATAGCAGACTCATTATAGGCCTTTTTTAACATTTCACAGAATTTATTTCATTTTTTAAGCAAAATTGGATACAAATTCTTTGATCCATTTCTTTTAACGAACGAAAAATCGCCGAGCTCATAAAACACGTCTAACCTTAGCGGCTGCCACAGACAAAGTAAACAATGAAAACAGCTAAAGTTTTTATCATACTTCGGGGGCATGTATACTAACATAATAAAGAAAATTTTATAACAACCGGACCCTCTGAACCCGCGAAATTTAACAATTCTCGTTATTTTCTGAACACACCTCGTATAATTTTGTTTTTTTAACTTAATTTCAATATTTAACTTATTCTCATGTTTGGCACTGCTTATCTTGCGCAAAACTTGCATCGTGTAAACGTTTAGTCTTTGCAATGCAAGCCCCTGCAAATGTTTTGCATTCCCTAAAACTTGCTTTAACAATACCTATACAAAATTGATGCAAAATAAACTAATTAAAATAATATATTTTGTATTGAATTATAATTTATCAACCTACCTATTTTTTAAGTTTACTTCAACCGCTCAAACAATAAATATTCTTTTCATAAAATAAAATGTGGTCAGATGCAGTTTTGGGGCTACATAACTTAATGAGTTTAATGAAATTGACCTCTGTACGTTTCGCAAACTTAGCTGACAAATAAACTTTTAACAACATGAATATTTAAAAATAAGGTTAATTTTAAAGTAAAATATAGTTTATATTAATTTATTATTGGATTCTTAATAATATGTATATTTATATGTATATATTTATATATTAATGTATAAATGATGATATTACTTGGTCATATTTTTAATTTATAGATTTTTAATTTATAGAAATATTGGTTAAAATGTTTCATTATCAGTGTTGTTGCTTTATATTTATATTATTACGTTTTAAACCATTTAAAATTTTTGAAAACATTGTAAGCAGGTAGGATATTAATAAAATTATGATTTAAAAATATTTACTATTTACAAATAAACAATATTTTAAAAATATTATCTACAGGTAAATTTGGAACACCTTTGTATTGAAATTATTAACTAATTGTTAGATAAACATTTTTAAAATATCTAGAAGAGACACATTAGGCTTGTAGTAATATTATTTTTAATTATATACATACACACATGATCAAAATTGTTGCCTATTTTTGTATTTTAATTTTCGCTTTGTATAACGTTCTGTTTTTTGTTGTTTTGGAATTCATTCATTTAATTGTTATAATACGTAAAATAAAGAAAATTTAATAAATTGAAGTATTTTTGTAGGAAATAATAAAAATAAAGGTTTCGGAACCAATCATCCTCCTCGAAGACCATAGTTCCGACGAGGATGATTACTTTGACGACAGTATTTAGATCATTCTATAAATAAAATTTATATTATAATGTTTTTTCACCTAAATCGTTTCTGTTAATAAATTTTTTTCACTTTTTAAAAATTACATTTAGTTTTATTTTTAATATTTCCTACAAAAATATATACTTTAATATATTAAATTTTCTTTATTTTACGTATTATAACTATTAAATGAAAATTTATTCCAAAACAACAAAAAACAGAATGTTATACAAAGCGAAAATTAAAATACAGAAATATGCAACAATTTTGATTATGTGTGTATATATCTATATATATATATATATGTTTAATAAATTGTTGTTATTTATAGCTACAAAACAAAAATAATACAATTTAGTACTTAATTTAATAAATAATTCTTTATGCTTACCAAAAGGGCAAAGGACTCGTTGGACTGGTTGCATTTAACTTAACCTTTTGGGGAGTTGTGGACGGGGTTGAAAAATTTAAAAACGGCATGCTTAAATAATAAAATGTGATAAATGCGTTTCCAAAGATCAGCTAAGTTTCCATTTTCATATACACTTTTCCCGTGATAAAGTCACATAATTACATCACTGTTTCTATTACAAGCTGTTAAAAAAAAACAACTATCACAATAAAATTCCAAGCGAAAAAGTAAACAATACAAACGATACTAACAGACCGAAATTTAGAACTCAACTAGACAGTGCGCGTAGAAAAAAGCTCAGTTTCAGTTGGCTCTGGACCACATGTTATTCCCGACGCATGTGCACGAATCTACCACTTTCTGGAGCAAAGGAACGAGAGAGACAGACAATCTGTCCTTTATGTTCAGGGATAAAATATCGACCTCTCTTATACAGTGCGACCCGTATACAGTGGCATTATCTTTTGGTTTGTAGGTATAGCTGCTTGATAAGGGAAATTTATTTCTTTTATTATTTTGCATTGTAACCAAATTTGGTAATTTAATACCTTTTTAGTACTTGTTTTTTTTTGTAATTACTAATTAAAAAAGTTTTTAGTAGGTACTCGTTTTTTTTTTAATTAAAAACCGTAAACATTTAGATATTTTTGTAATTCTTTTTTTTTTGTAAAAATTGTTTCCGGAGTCACATTTCACGTTATTAAATAATATGAACAATACTTAATAATTATTATACTTAATAATTATTATACACCAAGGGTTAAAAATGTTAATCCTTTGTATATAATAATTCTTTTTTTTTTGTAAAAATTGTTTCCGGAGTCACATTTCACGTTATTAAATAATATGAACAATACTTAATAATTATTATACTTAATAATTATTATACACCAAGGGTTAAAAATGTTAATCCTTTGTATATAATAAGTAACTTAAATTTTTACTTTAAGTGAAGATCCATGTATCCCATTTTTTTGTGACAAAAGATTAAATCTTAAATGGCAAATTCATTTTTAAACATAAAATTAAGAATATAATTTTTAAAATTTTTATTTTATCTTGTAGCATATTTTGTCACCTTTAATTTTGTATGAAATGGAACTAAGGCTAGGACCCATTTAAAGAACGCCGTTGTATTTTTTATTGAAGAATTTTGGATGCAACTTCAACTCCTAGTCATATTTTTAATCGTGTCGACTATTTTAAACAATATTTATAACTCAACTAATTTTATACTTAAAAATAATATGGAATTAAAAGTTTAATTTAAAACTAAAATTATTTGATATTTTTAATTCCTGCAGTTTGGACACCACTGACAATGTTGACGGTACAATTTATGTACTAAGCAGCGTTGCCAGACCACGAACAAATTATGTAGTAATTTGCCACCTATAATTGTATCATCCAAGCAGAAGTAAGCCTCGGAGCAAATCCTACTTGTGGCCACTGTACCTTTGCCTTGAATAACATTTTTTCCGTTTTAAACTTACTTTTTAGAAACAATAGAAAAAATAATGGAAAATACATATATTTTTTTAAATTAACAAAACAGAAAAACTCACATAAGTATGTTTTATATAATTACGCAATCGCTGCTTACTTGTTACAGTAGATCTCATACAATTTTTTAACATTTTTAGTTTACTAAAAGATCGTTTTAAAAAAGTTACATTTGTTTTTATACACCACAGTGTATTTTGTAATACAAAATTTGTATCTCTCTGGGATTTGAGATTTCGATAAAAAATATTTAGTTTGGAAACGAATTTTTGATATAATTATAATCTATAGGAAATAACACTTCTACAGATGTGTTATTTTCCATAGATTCTTTCAAAAATTCTTTTATAAACTTTTTAGCACTTTTTAAAATTTTAATTTTAAATTTTGTGGTGCCTACTTAAGAAAAACCAAAATATGACAGTTATATACCTTAATTTTGCCTTATAACAACAAATTAACAATTTATATTGTTACTTTTACTTTTTATGTTGTTTTTAGTTTTAAATGATACTTTATCTACTCCTATTGCATAATATTGGGTTGTTTTTGTGAATATTGATAAACATTATGAATTCCCTGCCTAACAATCGGAATAATGAACTCATTATTTACGTTGTTAGGCCGATTTCAATATTTACTGTGATTTGAACCAATCAGGTTTTAAATTGGGAGAAGGCGACCAAAGATAACATGTTTAAAGGTGACTATAAAAACATTTAAAATTGGTAAAAAGCCTCTCGTCTGGCGACTTAAGAGGCACACCTCATCCTCATGAACAGTGGCGGCCCGTGACATTTCATTTTGATGAGGCAGAGGCAGGGTTTCGCCCTCATTTAAAGGCGAAGAAATTTTTTTAAACCCAACAAAAACTGACGTCGCAGTTCACAACCTATACCTAAAACTTAGACTGTGGTGGGGAAGGAATTCTCTACTTTGTCAATGAAATATATTTTATTGTAAAAATGACGTTTATTTTAAATAAACCTCATTTTTGTCTAATTAATATTTAATTGTTTAGCAAGAAATACGTGAAGCTCAACAATATCGGTACAATTTTTCACCGTAATATCCATAATGACTAAATTCACATAAATCACCAAGTTCAATTAACTAAACCCACAGAATAAACCACTTACAAAAGAATAAAAAAATATACAAACTCATAGCATTGAGTAAGGAAGTTCCTTACTCAATGCTCATAGAAAAAGAATAAACAAAATATTGCGTAAATAACCACAGATTTGTTCTTTAAACAGTTCAGAATTTTATAACCAAAACAAACCTAAAGAAGGAATCTGTATTTATTTTATTGGTTACTGTGATGGCTTCAAGATGGCGATAGTGTTAAAATATGTTTATTAATAATTAAAAATTTTAGAATAGAAATATAATTTCGATTAATTAATAAGAAAAATAATACCATTTATTATTGAATTTTGAAAAACGTGTGAAGTATAATTTATCTGATTATTTCCTTGGATGTAGGCGTGCCTGCCTCGCGTATGCTAATACGAGAGAAGGAGACAACTATGATATCGCATTGTAATAGAAAGAGACAACAAGGCTAACGCCAATCGTAAGTCTAAATTAGTTCAGGCATGCTTCTGAGCCAATCATCTAGCTATAAATATTAGTTTAAATTGCGGTCGTTTCAAATTCAAATAATTTAAATGTTGCTGGGTATTCCACATATAAAATCAATCAATTTTATTGACTATTTCACAATTCATGTAATCCAAATATTCAAAATTTAAAGTAGGTATATTATAGAAAGTAAAATATTTAAATTATACTTAATTTTTTAATTCTCTATGATGAGGCACTGCCTCACCTGCCTCCCCTGACGGGCCGACACTGCTCATGAATAATAGCCTGCATTATCTCTCATATAATATTAATCTATTAATTTGTAATAAAGTACCTAGTTTGTTGTCAATTGAAATACAATGTTTTATTTTTACCACATTAGACCAGGGTCGATAATTTTTTAAACCAAAAAAAATAACAGTAGGATGAAACCCATTGGAAAAGGAGGAGAATATAATAAAAATGAAAGGAAAAATAAATTACGGGCGATCTGACTTCGGGAAGTGGGGGGGTGAGGTTTTAAGGGTTAAAAATGGTTTATCTCGATTTCCGGCAAAACTACAAGTCCCATGGAAAAAAGTTAAATGGCAAAGTTGTAGGTAATAAAAGGATCTACAACTTTTGTAATTACAATTTTTTTACATAACCTCAAAATTTATGTGAAAAATTCAAAAAAACAAGTTTTTGGTTTTTTATTTTTATCTTTTTCAAAAAAAAATTTTTTTCCACGAAATTTGGTGAAAACTTACCTTTTTATGTGCCAAATACACTGTAATTTATTTGATTTGAAATATTTATTATTTCGCCTTATTTTGACTTAATAATTTTCAATCGAAAATTCTCGCGTCAAAATATCAGCTTTTTTCAAAAAGTCGGTGTGCTTTTTGTTCGTTGAAATCTCTAATTTCTGATGGTGTAAAAAAAATATACATTACTATGGTAAATGTTCTCAGAAAATGCAAAAAATATTATAATGAATAACGAAAAAAACTCGAATTCGAAAATTTATTTTAATCATTATGTACAATTTCATCAAAAAAATGTGATTGTTGCTTTTTTTTTTTAGTTAAAAAGTTAATTTATTAAATTCTAATAACATTTATGTCAGAAATTCTCATAAAATATAAAAATACATGTAAATCATACTATTGAATTTAGATACTTCATTCTGATTACGTTATTCATTACAATATTTTTTGTATTTTCTGAGAACATTTACCATAGTAATGTATATTTTTTTTTACACCATCAGAAAGTAGAGAGTTCGTCGAACAAAAAGCACACCGACTTTTTGAAAAAAGCTGATATTTTGACGCGAGAATTTTCGAACTCAGATCGCCCGTAATTTATTTTTCCTTTAATTTTTATTATATTCCCCTCCTTTTCCAATGGGTTTCATCCTACTGTTATTTTTTTTCTCTTTTTACCATTTTTAAAGGCTTCTGCACTGGTCTACATTGGCACACTTGAATTTGCTGTCAGGTTATTAATCTAGTTTGCTGTCATGGGCTACTGTTATTTATTTATATATTAAACTCTTCATATGGAGTTCAATTTTATCCTTTAAGTGCTGTGCATCGCTCCATGAATGTGATTTGTACAATCAATTTAGTGGATGTTTCAAGATTTGAAATTCCACATGTCCGTGAGTGGAGGGCTTCGAGAAGTTCAAGAACTTAAAAACTTAAGATCCTAATTGGCTCAAGTCCAATTATCTCGAAAGGGAGAATAAAAACTATAGAAGAAGAAGAAACTCTTCATATGGAGATTAAAAATTGGAAACAATTTCATTCATTCAAAAATGTTGTATTAATAAAGGATCCTCCGGTGCCTCTCTTGGCCCCTGGAATTTTGCCTGTAGGTACTGCCATCCTAATTTTATGCCTCTGTACATATATGTATGTATATAAATATAAATAATCAATTGGTAAACAAGACATCACAATTTCAACACACAACTTCTTTATAACAAAGTTAAAACTATAAGTATATCTAGGCAGGTACATTGTGTCCAAGAAGCTTGCATTTTTAAATAAAAATTTTCCCTTCATGACAAAAAATGTACTTACTTTTCTGAACTTGTTATGTTTGTTATATCGATTGCAGACACCTCTGGCATTTGAGAAATTTCAAAATAAGTGACATTGGTCACATCAGGAATACTCTCTTCCATCTTAAAAGTCTATGCACTCATTAAAAACAATAAAATCATAAAATACAAATCTTAACCGTCAAACCACTTGTCATTTAAATTCATTTACTATGTGTGGATTGGCTGTTGCCTAGTAATCAGAAACACCAACCTAACGATAAAATTATACCGTTTAGCTTTGTTCAAGTTTTTATATCCACTCTATGAGGCAACATAATAATATTATTATATTCCATAATAATAATTATTTCATACGATATATAAAATGTTTTGCAGGAAAAACAATAGGTGTTTTCGCGGTGCTTATCCCGAAATAGTTCGGACATCAAGTTGGTCGCATTGATTAAAACAAACTAAGCTAGTTATAAATATAATTGTGGTCATCTATGGGTTATGTATAAATTAATGTAGGTTACATTGTGCAGTTGTCAAATTGAGTTGTCGAAATTCGTAGTTAAAAATGCAATTAATTTGGCTTTGGTGGTGCTTGGATGAGTAAAATCATATAAAAAGTAGTTAAATATAGGTTGCTTTACGGCCCAGAAGAGAAAGTATTCCTAGCGGATAATAATCTTCGCTTAGAAAAGAATTTATATAAAAGAAATTTTTGTGAACGTAAATGTTGGTCTAATGGTGAATAATGTGATGTAATATTTATAAAACCAAATTCGTTATTTTTTTACTCCAAAAATGTCCATAAGGCGATGTACTTTTTCTTCCATTTTGGCATAATTTCATCAAACACCAATTTCATCAATCCAAAATTAACAAGGTTTACAGTAAGAACCATACAAAAAATGCCAATAGTTTATTTACTTTGTTATTATAATCTAAAGTTTCAATAAGGTCCTCTAACTGTTCACCTTTTAATAGAAATCCTTTTAAGTTATTTTTAAAATTTACAAGGTTTATAGTAAGAACCATACAAAAAATGCCTTAAAATAAATTGTGTAAAACTGTGTGTAGGACAAAATAAATATATAAAAAAATACTTATGACTGTTTATTAAAATTTTGAACAATATCCAATAATTTATTTACTTTGTTATTATAATCCAAAGTTTCAATAAGGTCCTCTAACTGTTCACCTCCTAATAGAAATCCTTTTAAGTTATTAATGTTCACACCTTGCAATCTATGGTCTGTAATTCTATCTTGATTAAAATTGTAAGTTCTAATTTTTTCATTTCTAAAATTTGATTTTACTTGACTTTTTCTGGCAGCTTCAGTGTCTGCAGTTTGGTTATTCAGTTCTTTCTCATAGAGGAGAGCATTAAGTTTAGCCATTGCAATTTTCCGGTTTTTAATTTGTGATCTATCAACTTGACATTCAACCACAATTCCTGTTGGTATATGAGATATTCTTACTGCACTATCAGTGGTATTTACATGTTGACCTCCAGCCCCAGTGGCTCTTTTTGTTTCAATTTTTAAATCTTTGGGATTTATTTTAATTTCAATATCAGTTGGTTGAGGAAGGGCAACAACTGTAACTGTACTGGTATGTATTCGTCCTGACTTCTCAGTGGCTGGTGTACGCTGAACCCTATGAACCCCTGTTTCATGTTTAAAAAATTTAAATACAGAATTTCCATCTACTAATGCACTAGCATGTCGAATCCCTCCCAAATCAGTTTCTTGATAATCAGCTATTTCCAACTGCCACCCTGCAATATTTTGGGTATTAATATTTTTATACTAATTTTAATATACCTATAAAATTTTACCCTTGTAGTGAATAAAATTACAATACATATTAAATATCTCTTTAGCAAAAAGCATTGCTTCTTGCCCCCCAACACCAGAATTTACTTCAAGAACCATTGAATTGTGTTCATTTTCATCAAATGGTAAAAGGGTAGAAATCAACTGATTATCTATATTGTTTATATTTTCCTCCCATTGTATTTTTTCTTCTAAGGCCATTGATTTTAAATCTTTATCATTTTCATTTAGTAATTCTGTTAAATTATTAAGGTTTTGTATTACTTTATCTCGTTCTTCTAAAAGCCTCCCAACTGGTGTTATAAATGACCAACTGTTATCTTTATTTTCAGAATTTCCTTTACAAATATTAAAGTATTCATTTTGTATAGATCTAACATAATTATTTAAAGAAATTCCGTTTAATTTTAAATCTAAATCATAGGCATTAGAAAACTTCCTTAAATTGCAACATTGAGGTACCTGAATATCCAATATATTTTTCCCGATAATTAATAAATTAGTATATTTGAACATTCTCATTTTCTTTATATCGATGATAAAATATTAAATACAAAAATGTATGATCACTGAAGAAAAACATTATTACATAACCTAAAACTATGCCATGTTGTCTGATTTCCTTTTTTAGGTTAAAAGTTTAATGAAAATTTAATTTTAATACAGTAAAACGAATTTTACATATTATATACAGGGGCCCGGACCCAAATGAAATAACGGTTCCTGTCTGGTTCCGAGAAAAACGACAAATTTTGTTTCGGGTTCAGTTTAGGGAGGTCAAAAAAATAAAAAGGTCGAACTTATTTCTAGTGCGATCACAGACGCTTGTCCCAGTGTTGCCACCGAGGGATATATCCCGATTCGAGAGATATTTGTGGTCCACTTGGGTTGGGTTGGGTTGGGTCAAAGGGATAAAACATCTTACTTTAAAGCCTGATTTATAGATTGCCTTTCTTCCTTCCTCACGTAAAAGATGAACATATGTTCATCTTTTACAAAAACCGTTGTGCTTTTTATAGATTCCCGTACGAATGGCACTACGATTTTCGTATTGTTCATCGTTCACCGTTGTGCTTTTTATAGATTCCCGTACGGGAATCTATGAATGGCACTACGATTTTCGTATTGTTCATCTTTTACGTGAAGAAGGACGGAAGGAAGGCAATCTATAAATCAAGCTTTAACCTTACGTTTTGTAAGCTTAACCTTAAAATTGTTTGGTGATAGGCGGGAAGAAATAGCAAAAGATTTAAGAAAAGCTGTTCAAAATATCCCTGATAAGAAGATAATAGGTGTCTCCATAATATCTCATTATGTCCAGAGTAAGTTGTTATTCTTTTTGTAAATTTGTTTTACTGTGGGATATTTTTAAAGGATATTAGATCATTTTTTGGGGCAACATCCAAAAAGACCAAGGGCCAAAAAAATATAGCTATAGATTCTGATGAAGAAATTATTAATAAAACTCCAAAGAAAACCAGTAAAAATAAAAAGGCCAATGTTATTAACTCTGATTCAGAGGAGGATAAAACACCCGTAAAAATAAAAAAGCAATCACCTAATCTTAAACCAATAAATGTATCAGATGTATTTAAAAATTCGTCCATTAAACAAAGCAAAGTTAAAGAAAAACTCTCATCTAAGGATTCTGTAAAAACAGAATTGGGAGTGCACAAGGATGAAGATTTTGATAAAACCTTGCAAGAATTAGATGATGATATTTTGCTGGATAATGTTGATGTACTGGATAAAACCATTGATGAAATTAAAAGTAATAAAAAACCCAAATCTGAAAAAAGGAAAAAAATAAATGAAGGTAAGGAACATTTAAACAAAATTTAATTAATTAATCTTTATTTTAAAAGCCTTTTCAGAAAGGTTATATTATTTTTTTAAATATGACATTGGATAAACATAAAACCAGAGCTGGCCAAGTACTGAGTACTTTTACTTGTATTTAAATTACGAGCAAAAAAGTACGAGTACTTGGTTTATTTTTTAGTTCAGATTTCTTGACCCTTATGCTGGAGGGAGGTTAAGAGCCTGAAAATTCTGTATCATAACTTGCTGTTGCAAATGAATTATTTCTTAAATATACCAAAAAAGCAGCATCCTGTTTAGGGGTGCCAGTTTGGGACGACCTGAACCAACTTTCCGGTTTAGTAAATCTTCCTGTTCCCAGTGTTGCTTAATTTTTAATAGAGTTTCTATTCTATTATAATAGAAATAAAAAACAATATTAAATATTTATATATACAACTATGCTACAGCACGAATTGACCATCCTTTGACTCTTTATACTATTTACGTAATATACTTTTCAACTTAAGATAACTGACGATGCATTTTTATTTTCTACTGTCAGTTATAGTGACTTAATTATATCAGTAGAAAGCAAGTTTTACGCCATAATGATGACAGTTTTCTAATTCTTGTAGGTGCGCTTTTTTAATGAATACAACTGTAAGTAGTTTCTAGCTTTGTAAAAAGTGATGTTCTCAAATTTCAAGTTAATAAAAATTGCTCTAATAATGGAGTAGAGCAATAAAATGTAAAGAATCAGCCTTAAAACTTGATTAAATTATTTTCTTTTTTAGATGATGATTCCTCAACTAAAAAACGTAAATTAGATGAATCATACTCTGATGGACAGGCAGCTTTTGAAAATAAAAGAATGATGTATGAAAGATATTTAAACAGAGGTGGACCAAAAAATCATGGGAAAAAAACATATCCCAAGGTAATAATTAAAAATAATAGATAAACCAAAGGAACACATAAAATTGTTTTATAGTGAAACCGTCAAACTCGCCCTCGGCTCGAGAACATGCCGTAATCTAAACTTGTTACAGAATACTATTCTATAGGCGTATTCATTAAAATAAGAAATAAGATAAAAAGTTAAAACTGTAAAGTAATGGTTGCGTTTATATTCATGAAAATAATAAATAAGTAATAAGACTAAAGATAAATAACTTTTAACTTTGGCTCTTATTTTTGCTTATAAAACTGCGCAGAATATACTATGTATTCTATTAAAACGTAAACAAGTCAGTGGTGTCCAATGGACTAAAGTAATAAAAAAATACATGGACACTGTCCATGTATTTTTTTTATTAATTCAGAAAAAGCAATTACGACTCTCTCTACTGAAGTTGACAAAACAATTAAAGGGACAAGTAGTTTTATTAAAATTTTAATAATAAAAAATATTGTGATTGCAATACATACCAAATTTATTTTTATTTACAATAACAATATTGTATGTTCTTTTCTAATTTATATGTAACATGACAACTTAAAACAAAAAAAAATGTAATTGCAATAGCAAACTTATTTTCTTTATTTATTTAATACATACATACATTCCAATAAGCTTACCTATAAGTTAGGCTACTGTGTGGGCATTATATCCGTTAATAGTTATTTATGTGTCAAGCTTTGTAAATGAATCTTTACGGGCGAGTTGGAAGTTTGTGGGGTGAGCGACGCAGGAGCAAACCCCATAATCCAGTGAGCCTAGTGAAGATTAATTGCAAAGCGTGACACATAAATAACTCGTTTTTGTTGCTAAGCAAAAATGTGTTACCTACACAGACCTACAATATTAAATAATACTATAATACTATATTAATATTAAGTTAACATATTTTTCCTTAGCACAAAAAACAAGATATGCCTTTACGTATTTTTAACGGCGATATAAATGTTTAGAATTACCTCGAGAATTACATAATTAATGGGCGCTACTCTTTAACTTAATCCTTAAATATTTATCATACTAAAACTTTCCATATCTTTCCTTTTTATTCTATTTCAAATATTTAAATCCATATTTCCTTAAAAAAGGTATTCTTTAAATAGCTAAATTTTGTATAGTCCAGGAAACAAAGATTGTAGAAGGAAAACTCGAACCCCATTGCGCACCTATATGATATGCCCTTTTGCTATGCGCAGTGTTGGGAAATATTCTTGATTCATTATCAGCACCCCTGACTCTACATAAAAAAAAAATAAAACCCGACTACCATCGAGTTTTCCTTCTACAACCTTTGTTTCCTGGACTAATATTTTATTACAAACAATTTTGACTTATATTTTTTATATACACAGGGTGTCACAAAATAAGTTTTCATCCTTTAAGGGGATGATATAAATCACGCCAAAATAAGAAAGTTTGTCCTCTATCATTTTTACATTAGTGCCATTTTTTTAAAATAAAAATATCATTAAAATTTGTATAAGTAAAGTAGAAATTTTGGGCCGCCACTGGTTGTTCCTGACTTACGACAACTAACGCAAAATGTTCCTACAGTGGGCAATAATCTACATTCATTAAAATTTTACATTTGTGATATCATTGATTTCTTTGTTAATATTTTTTTTGTTTTGCCTGCTAAGCTATTTTTAGGTAGTTTGAATAAAATAATACTTACTTTTTCTTGTTAGGTATCTCGAGGTTTCCGTGGTTTTCCCGTCGATTTTAAATTTCACATTTTACGTCGATTGATGCTTATGCATTTATTAATTGTTCCACAAAATCATTGTTTTAGAGGTAAAAACAATGATGATATAAGGATAGATCAGTGACATCCAGTGGCTCCTTGGTTTTGTCAAAAAATGTTCTATTTTTTTAAATTAAATAACAGTAGCTCTAATGCAAAAATGATAGAGGAAATACTTTCTTGTTTTGGCGTGTACTATCATCTCCCCAAAGGATGACAATTTATTAGGTGACACCCTGTATATTATATAATAAAAAATTCTAAATTAAATTTAACATAACCCCTTCATCCACTTTCCACTCAATTGTAATTGTAATCAAAATGTAAATCAGCATATCATAAACTTAATTTGAAATATTTTTTTAGGGAAAGAAAGATTCACTGAAGGGGTTGGTGTTTTTGAGAACAGGAGTTTTAGACTCTTTGTTAGGAGAAGAATTTCAAGATATAGTTGCTAAGCATGGGGGACGGGTTGTCCATGCTGTTTCCAGTAAGTATAATTAATATTAACATTTGGTTAGCTCTACCCAATATTAATGTTCTTATAAAGTATGTCCAAGGATTGAGTTACAAAGAGTTTTTTTATATTTTTGATTTAACAGAAAAATTTACTCTTAAAGAAATGGTCTACTTCTCTGTAACCCTTAAAACTCATCTCGTTTTTACTTTTACAGTTAATTTTCTACTTACATTTTTATAGCGAAATTGGACATTTTATTTAAAACGAGAAGGCATACAATTAGCCGAATTTAATTTTTTTAAACGTTTAATTGTTGATCCAATGTTTTGGAACTTGCTGTTATTTTCCTACTCATATTTTTATACCAAATTTAGACAAAATTTTATTTAAAATTAGTATTACTATCCAGACACAAATCATTTAATGGAAAGAAAAATATATATTTTTTAATAATGCACCCCCTTAATCAACCCAAATTTTAACCCTCGATCTAAACTCAAAATTCTTTTTGGCTGTTTTTTTAATAAGACACTCCCAAATCAACACAAATTTTAACCATGCATCTAAATTTGTTATAACTTCCTTGAAACTCTTCTATTGAGATCGACAAAATAGTATTAGATATTCTAATTTTTAGCACTTTTGCATCATTTTCTAACGGTTCTGCATAGGTAAATCATTTGTTTTAAACGTCCCCATAAAATTTTTTATAACAGTTCTGGACTTTGTGGAGGCCAAAAAATTGGGCCATTTCTCCCCATTCAATTTTGGCAAAACTTCTCTGTAAGCCAATTGCGAACGTAACGAGAATAGTGCGCTGGACTTCCATCATGTTTGAAGTACAATGAATTATAATAATTAAATGGTAATTTAGCAATTTTTTACTAAAAAAGTGTGGTAACATCTCCAAATAAATGTGCTGATTAAATTCTCATTAGTGAAATACGGCCCAATCATGCCATGATAGATAATAGCGCACCACACGTTAACTTTTTTGAAATATTGTTTTCGAGCAGGTATGGTAAAATGTGGATTTCGATTGTTCCACTTTTGACAATGTTGGGATGAAACTACACCATTGGTGGTAAATGTGAATTCATCAGAAAATACAACGAATTTATAATTTCTTTGTTTCAAATTTCTCCCATCCACAAACCGTTTGGGTTCATCACCTTCTTCAAGAGTTTGAAGATTTTTTGAAGGTGTGATTTGCTAAAAAAGCCAAGTTGTAATGCTCTTCTTCTAAATGATAAATGGGGAGATTCCGCAGCCAAATTATTATTATACATTAGGGTGGCCCAAAAAAAAAGAATATTTTTTTTCTTCTCGTCTCTTGTGAAAATATGTTGGTTTGTCATGTTTTAAGAGCCCTGTCAAAAGATCAGCACCATTAAAATTTTTTTAGGGGTCGCTCAAGATTTTTAAAAATTACCAAAATCGTCAAAAATTGGATTTTTGTTTTATTTTAATTCTTTTTCTCGTCTCAATATTGTTTTTTAGGTTGAAAATAATAAAAATTCTGTAAATTTCAAATCAATATTTTGATTTCTAAAGGTCGCTAAAAGTTCGTTGATATTTATATTCAGAGGTCGCTCGAAAACATTCAAAATACTCTAACTTGAAAGTTAAAAAAATCTTGAGCGACCTTTAGAAATTAAAATAAAAAAAAATCCAATTTTTGACGATTTTGGTAATTTTTAAAAATCTTGAGCGACCCCTAAAAAAATTTTAATGGTGCTGATCTTTTGACAGGGCTCTTAAAACATGACAAACCAACATATTTTCACAAGAGACGAGAATAAAAAAAATATTCTTTTTTTTGGGCCACCCTATTATACATATATAATTTATGAAATTCATTAATTACCACAATTTGCTCTAAAGACAACTTTATTTCAGTTTTATTAGTTGTAGTAAAGTTGGATAAGCGATCTGACAGGGATGTTTAAAAATTTAAATTTGCCCACTTATATGCCTTCCAATTTTAAATAAAATTTGGTTTAAAAATGTGAGTATACCTAAAGGAAATTAACTGAAAAACTTAATGTAAAGACAAGTAGATCATTTCATCAAGAGTAAGTTTTTCTAATAAATCAAAAATAAAAAAAACCCTCTTTGTAACTCAATCTGTGAACATACAGTAGACTGATATTTTTTAAATCTTTTTAGAAAAAGTTAACTATCTAGTTGTTGGCGAAGAACCTGGCCCTGCAAAAATGGCCAAAGCCGAATCATATAATATTCCATTTTTATCAGAAGATGAATTCTTAGATTTGATTTTAAAGAAGTCTGATATGAATCCTAAATATGTAATGGAAAGCAAAAAGGAAGAAGATTCAGGGGTAGGCACCAGTCAATCTACTCAAGAGTATGATGCCATTGAAAGCCCTCCAGTTAAAATAAAGAAAGAATTAACTGATGAAAAACCGGATATAAAAGAAACAAATATTGATAAACCCACACAAGCTGACATTAAAACTAAACCCATTAAATATGAAGATATTCCAGTATCAACTAAAGTATGCACAAAAAATAAGCAAAATGTTCCAGTATACTCTTGTTGGACAGAAAAATATAAGCCCAAAGATCTTAAACAAGTTATAGGACAGCAACGCCCCGATAGCGAATTAAACAAATTATTTAAATGGCTTCAAAATTGGCAGGAAAACAGAAAGTCCGATAATAAAAAAAGTTGGGATGGATCGCATAACAAGTGCGCATTATTAAGTGGACCACCAGGGGTTGGAAAAACAACAACGGCAACTCTGGTTGCGCAATCGTTAGGATTTGATATTGTTGAATTTAACGCATCCGACACAAGAAGTCAAAAGTTACTACGTGAGCAAGTAACAGAGTTGGTTAAATCAAGAACTATTGCTGGATTCGCAGAAGGTATTATTTACAGTAGTATAAAAATCGATAATCATGTATCGAATGAAAAATTTCTATTAAAATATCGTGTATCGGGAGGTAATGTAATGTATTTTTTTTAAATCTCTAGGATGACAAAACCGCAAAAATTTAAGTACAGCCTTACTATTAATATGTATAAATGAGAAGTAATCGTGGTAATAGGTTACAGTAACTGATCTGATTCATTCTTGAGATTATTTCTTACACTTCTTACTTTTTTGGGTCGAAAAAATTATAATTTTTTTAAAAATTTTCTACAACTTTTAACTTAACTTAAAAATATGTGGAAATAAAGTCGAACCTCCTACAATTTCTATTAACTAAGATACAGCAATATAAGGGTGATTCTACAAAAGTTGGGCAACTTTTGACCTCATTTTGTTTATATTGTTTTCGGAAAAAATTAAATAGTATTTTGTTATGAGAACATCAGGGCTCCCAGCAGGTAGTTTTTTTAAAGACTTGTCTATATTTTTGTCTTAAGTCTATAAAAGTCTATTTTTTTACCTAAAGTCTATAAAGTCTATATTTTCTGTTAAAATCAACTATTAAAAAATATTTTTTTATATATAAATATTTACAATTTCATAAATATCGAAACCATAGTAAACCAAGTGAAACATTCGAAAACTTCGCAGTTTACATTTAAAGTTCCCGCCGTCCAGACCCGAACCGCCCGCCAAAATTATTGCTGAATTGTTTTTGGTTTGGTCTAGGGTTTCGTTTAGAGATGGGAATACCGGTTTACTTTTTGTCGCGGTTCCTGTCGCGGCGGTTCCAGAAAAATACCGCGACAAAATACCGCGATTTAGTAACTGGCAATGATGGACACTTCGCCGAGTTTCTCATGTCGCAGTGTTAAAATTGTTCGTCTTTTATAAATTATAATTATAATTATTATTGCATATGCTAGTATTTACATTAAAAAAAGGTTTTTTATAAACATATAATTCTTAAAAATTAAATTATACCGTTTTCACTAGTTCCTTAGTAACCGGTTACTTGACTGTTGTGGAGCGCGACGCCCCGTTCCTATGAAATACCGCGACAAAATCGCGGTATTCAAATACCTACCCATCTCTAGTTTCGTTTACGTTTATACTTTATAGTTTCGGTTCGCTAGGTTAAGTTAACCTGGTTAACACTACCTATATATGCATTTTTCATGAAATTAGTAAGTACCTAGTATCTATCAAAGAACATGTGACAAAGAATGTGTTCCTATTCTATGTTTTATCATCCATTCCATAACCCTAAAAAAATATGTTCAGACGATAGCAAAGGTAAGTGTATAACTATAGTTTTTATTATTAAAAATTATACATTTATATTATTTAATAAAAACAAAGTTTAAATGTACTTGTACTGACATAAAAAAAATTTAATTGAACGATTAAGGAAGGGTGCAGAAAATAAAAAAAAATGACTAAAATATGTATGGCTCAACTAATGTTTGAAGGAGTGAACCATCCCAAAAAAGAAGCGGGGAAGGTAACTTACAAGATTAGTCGTCTTGCCCAAGATTTAGAAAAACGAAAGGCGAAAATTATAGATCAGCTGCAGCCCACCAAAAAAAATGTGCCTTTTATATAAATGTGATTCTATTTATTATGAGTTATAATTTATTACAGAATTTAATATTTTTTTTGTTATTTATGTATTTTATAACAGTTATGGTTACTTGTTAAATTTAATTCAATAAAAATTTATAATTTCAAGTTATCTCTATGTATTTTAAATTCAAATTTATCTTTTATCCCAAAAAAATGTATACCTCCATTTTATAGTTATTTCGGTAATTAATTTGGTCTATATTTGGTCGTTTATTTTTTATTATTAGTCTCTTAAGTCACTATTTCTCACAACATGGACTGCTGGGAGCCCTGGAGAACATAGATAATATAATAAATATACTGTTCCAGACCAGGCCAGTCACTTTTTCAAACAGTTTCTGAAATATCTGTGTTTTCTAAATTTGAATGCAAGGGAAGTGACGAGTATATCAGGGTACTAATTAAATACATAATTTATTGGAAAATATAAGATTTATTGCAACTTAAATTAAATATTAAATATCTTAAAATCAAATAATACCACACATCAGTGGCGGCTGGTGGATTTTGGGTATACCGATATCTCAATTATTAGATATGGGACCCACACCAAATTTATATGAGTTTATAATGACATTAAATAAACAAGTTCTGCGCAAGCAGAATTTAAATTGAAGTTTGCGAAAAAATGATAACCGAAAAATCGAACATGGAACTGACGACACGGTACTGATGAATGGGATACAAATTTGAGATTATAATTCGGAATTAAGTATTTTACTGATATTTTTTATTAATGGATGCTACTTATCAACAAATCACATATAGCCTTATATAAATTACAATAAAATATATATACGTAAGAAAATAACTACTCACCACAGTACTGAAATTTTGACTGGAACTATACGTGCATTCACCACAACTTCGCCGCTTGCATTGTTTTCAAGATGACTGTCGTGCAAAGGGCGGGCTCTGTAGGTAATTTTTGAGTTAAAACGAGGAATATTTCGCAGGAATTTTGAATTTTAACATTGGACACAGATCTGACGGGTAAACGTGAGTACAAAGATTATCAATTTTTTAAAAATTGCTATTATTCGAATCTATGATAAAATATGAAAAATACATTATTTAATATTTTATAGTTTGTAGTGAAATTGAAAAATTTAAGATAAATTGAATATATTTTAAAATAAAATCAATCAAATATTTGATTCAGGAGTTGTGACACGCCAAGGTACTGATGTTTTGAATATTTATTATGTTTTTCTACAAACGTGCTTTTGAAAAAATACATTAAAATTGGGTGGACAAGTTAATAAAGGTAATATACTAAAATATTAAAATACCTACTCTATTGACTGATGACATCAAATTGTCCAACTTTTGTAGAATCACCCATATAGAGCAATATTTTAAAATAAGAAACAAATAAAAACATGATCATCAAACAATACGCTTTAGAAGTGAAATTTCTCCGCAGAATTCACAGTTATACCAGAAAAGGGGTAATTTGTTGAAATAATTTTCATAGGCATACCCAATAGCACCAAATATTTATGTAATATAAAAAAAACTACAGATTTTTAATATTTAATGTATATTTGAAGTGTATATGTATTTAATATATAAAAATAATATCACTTGCATATTACTAATAAATGTTAACAAAGCATGTTAGTAAATTGACTTGAATATATAATACAGGATACTATATGATAGTAAGCATTCTCCCTTTTCGTAATCGATTCTGTGGAGCGCCCTTTAGTTATGATTTTTGATCAATGAAAATTCGCGGTGTTTGTGGTTTTTATCGTGATGTAAAAAACTTTGTTTAAAAAAAAATAAATTATGATTAATGACAAGTTCTGCTACTCAATATAAAAGGTGATATTTTACTTGTTTGCTCGATTTTTGTTTCATTTTTGTTCCTATTATTTTAAAGGAAGTCATTGTACCATTGGTTAACAAGGTTGCCAAAATTGAGGTGTGGGTCATCGTTAAAGTGTTTTGTGATTATTTCAGCTTTTTTTGTCATCGTCGTGTAGCATCGTGTACAATTTTCTGGGATTTTTAATATTTTATCTTTGGCTTTATATTTAGACATTTTTCTGATTTTTTCAGTAGTTTTTTCCCTTGGTTTTGTTGATTTCGTTGTAGGCGTTTATCCGTTTACTTTTTGTGTATTCCCGAATAACTTTTGCAATTCTTTGTTGTAATTGTTTAGTTGTATTTTTAGTTTTTGGTCTTTATTTCTTCTTAGTCTTTGTACATTTCCCTTTTGTTTTTAATCATTCTTAATCATTCTGGTAGATAAAGTAATCTTTCTTTTTTATGATAGGGCTGCACTCTTTAATAGCGTCCGTTAATTTTTTGATGAAATCTGATTAAACATTTTTGCTGATTTTTTTGTTTTGCATTTGTCGTATATATATATATAGTTTTTAATTAATTATGTTAACTATTTTGATGTTACATTTCGTCCTGAGTGTATATTTATTTCTAGGTTCTTTGTATGTGGTATGTGGTATAAGATCGGTGGTTGAGAATTTTGGATGGGTTTGTACAATACTGCCTCCTAATGTGTTTATTTTACCATTAACTATCGACTTCCAGTCCTTGTAGTCAGTCATTGCTTCTTTTATGTCTTTGTATTTACAAACATTGTGCGCTAAATGTTTCTTCTATAAAGTTGTATTTAATCAAAATAATAAAGTTTTGTTAAAATCCTTAAATGAACTTTGTTACTTGTTACTTTGGACGGATAAACTTTATTTATATTACATTTAAAAATATTTTTCTGTTACTATATTATTGTTTATGTGTGTACCATAAGTTTATACTTTAAGGTCAAAAGAAAGTTAATATGAAAAGAATTCTTCTTATGGATGAAGTTGATGGAATGGCGGGCAATGAAGATAGAGGAGGTATGCAAGGATTGATTCAAATTATAAAGGAATCTAACATTCCGATTATTTGTATGTGTAATGATCGGTATCATCAAAAAATTAAGTCTTTAGTTAATTATTGTTTTGACTTAAAACTTACGCCACCAAAACCAGAGCAAATAAAAGTTAGTATTTGAATGGCAGTTGCCTTTTAATAGTATGCATTTTATTATTATAGAATTTTTTAGGGCTTTCTTAAAAGTGTATGTTTTAAAGAAAAAATAAATGTTTCGTATGATGCTCTTGGAGATATAGTAAAAAATACTGGGGGAGATTTACGTCAAGCTTTAAATTACCTATCACTTTGGAGTGTAGATCATAATGAAATATCCGATAAAACTGCCAAAGATGTAGACAGATTACTTAAGGATACAATTCCTGGCCCTTGGGAAGTAATTCGAAGAGTGTTTACACATAAAAATCATCCTAGTGATCCAAAACCGTTATCATTCATTGAAAGGCAGAGATTATTTTTCTATGATTATAGCATTGGCCCGCTATTTGTTCAAGAAAATTATTTAAAAGTAACACCAAAAATGGAATTTGCAAATATTCTTAAGTAATAAAAACTATTTTACCGTCTATATTAATTAATTTTTATTTTATCAATTTTATTCTAGGCCAAAACACGAAACTTTACTCAGGTTGGCTGCTGCTACTGATGCTATTAGCTTTGGCGCACTAGTTGAGACTAGAATCAGGTCTACCAATAATTGGTCCCTGTTAGATTGTCAGGCCATGTACTCATCGGTATTGCCGGGGTCTTACTTGAGCGGTGCTCTCTCTCCTAATGTTAACTTTCCCGGCTGGCTGGGAAAAAATTCAAAGAGAAGCAAACTTAGTCGCATGCTGACGGAAATACATACCCACTCGAAACCGAGGTACAAAATATCTATATTTTTATATTATTTTATATTCTTTATTATTTTAGAACATGTTCGAGTAAAATCGCTATTCAACTAGATTATGTTACAACTTTCAGAAATAAAATAATGCGCTTTCTAACAAGCAATTTAGAATATGATATTGCATATGCGGTAGAATTTTTAAATTTGTATAAGTTAACAAAAGACGATTATGATAATCTTTTACAAGTAATGGTTTGGAGTGGAACTAAATTTCCTGACATTCCTGCAAAGGTTATTTATAAAATAGATTTAAATCTGTCCTAATGATAAACATTTATAATTTAAGGTAAAAAGTGCTTTTACTAGAGCTTATAAAAAATCATCTAACTTGGAAAGTAGAGCATCGTTTGCAAAAAAGGCAAAGAAAACGGAAGCTGATGATGAAGGAGTAGAAGATAATGAGGATTCTTCTGATGATGATATTAAGAATAATCCGATGATTAAAGTAAGTAATAATTATGGGTGGACAACAACTTTTTTAGGGTAATCATATTGCTCAACCAGCTCTTGTTTAAGTGATATTTAAAAAAAACTGTTTTTTCGATATGCAAACATTAAAATTCGTTTATATATACATATATATGTATATATTTATTTTTTAAATTAAACTTTAACAAAGGATCATTGGTAATGTAGCTATCGGTCCAATTAAACTAACAAAAAATTATAGAAATTTAAATGTCTATAATTATAAAGTTATTTCCTTTAAAATTCGTCAATTTTCAAAATTTTAAGTGCTGTTACGCGAACAATTTTTGTCCGATTTTAATGAAATTTACAAAATGTATAGCTTTATTAACTAATATATGTATTTAAACCGAATCAAATAAAATTTACCAAAATGACACTAAAAGCATTTCTACTCCTGCCGCGTACTCTTTAAAAAAATTCTGTGAACAGCATAAATTCATAAATGTTTACTCATCTAGTATTTCATCTAAAAAAATTATGATTGGAATTTTGTTGACATTTTTTTTAGCAGTGACTCGTGCAAGAACGTTGTGTTTATTTTTTTAAACATTCTGTTAAACAGTGTTATTGTTTTTGTTTTAAAACTCGTATAAATACATATTTAAATTCATTACTTATCACAGTCATACAAGAGCGAAAATGAAATTGCCAATTTTTATTTGATTGCGTTAAAAAAATTTCACGATATAGTAGAGACACGAACCCAAAAATTGTTCGCCTAACAACACTTACTTTAAATTTTGAAAATTGCGGAATTTTGGCTAAAAACTATTTTATTTTGTCAAAAACATGATTTTTAAGGGGCCCATGGCTACATTACCAATGATCCTTGGTTAAAGTATTTAATTTAAAAAAATAAATATACGAATTTGAATATTTGCATATCAAAAAAACAGTTTATTTACAATTCATAAGTAGCAGAATGCATACCTAGGAGCATATCTAAATGGATATAGCACAAGACAAATTTTTCGGAGATTTATAGCGAAAATTGTATTCCGAAGGTTAAGCAAAATTGTGGTCATTTTTATAATCAGCTCCTGCAAATTACCCTAAAAAAGTTAATAATTACCCTGCAGCAAAATGACTGCTGACCAGTGTAATAGTAGTTAATAACTTGATAATATAATTTTCCATTTTAGGTTTGTGTTAGAAAAGCTAGTGATAAAGTGGCTGAAAAACCAGCAAAAGGAAAGGGAAAAGCTAAAGCAAAGAAAAAATAAAAAACCTCAACCCTATTTTAAAATATTTATTGATTTATCATTACGTATGTCTTACCTTAATAAACAGTTTTTAAAAGCTTAAAAGTTTTTGTTTACTTTGTAGTTTAAGAAGACATCCTTAAATAAATATATTAGGTGGTCGTAAAAGATCTTGCCGTTTTAGCGGATACATTACTTTTTTTTAAGTCACACTGGGGTTGATAAGTGTGGCTCAGTTTGTACCTGGTTGAAATTTTACGTATGACAAAGTTTTTTTACGTATTATAAAACTTTGGAAATACGTGGGATTTCTTCTTGAACAGTTTATTGCCAGGAAGCGTTTATACCAACAAAAAAGATGACAATAAGTTGTGAAACTTTGTTTTAAGAACTATTGTCATATCTTTAAAAAATAATGCGAGTTATGGCTTAGGACGTTTTTTATAATCCACCATGTATATATTTTTTGTTTCTGTTTATTCTTATTTTTAACGTTATTTTCATTTTTATTTACCCAAACTGACTAAATATAGTAAGTATGTTTGTTTAAGTTTTTTTTATATTTTATTAGTATTTTAGCGTCAGGCAACAGCACTGACAAATTTAATAATAAGTTTGTATACATAATATACTGCGCGTCAAAATTAACGCATAACAAGTAAAAAAAATCCAACTTTAAAACGCCTTTACCAATCTTTATGAAATTATGTATAAAAATACTTCAACTTATATCTCAGTTTACGTGTTCAAGGGTTTTTCGAGAAAATATCCTTAAAGCCCTTTTATTTAATAATAACAAATGCTCGAAAAAAACTTTTATAGGGAAATTTATTTTTAAGTAAATAAAAAATCTGTTGTGAAAGACCGTATTTTTGTTAGCATACCCTAAAAATTTTGTAGAAATCAAATTAACAGTAACGAAAATACAGCGCTTCAAAGTCGTCAAAAATGACCACTTTTCAGCAAAGTAATAAAAAATGGGTATTTTTTACCGACTTTGAAGCGCTGTATCTTCGTTACTGTTCGTTTGATTTGTACAAAGTTTTCAGGTTATACTAACGAAAATACGGTCTTTAACAGCATATTTTTTATTTACTTAAAGTTATTTTTTGTACGTTTTTTTAACGCTTTCTTACATGCAATACATATAACTATTCAAGGAAAATTATTTTGGACAAATATAAGAGTGCTATTTACATAATCTGTAACGATCATAATCCAAAATCGATTTTTGGACGCTTAGGTCCCTTTTCTCGAAGCGCGTCACATATTGTTTTCATTAAAGTAAAACATAAACTATCAAATATTATAATATTATTATTATAATAATAATAATTATGCTAATAATATTTTCGTTCGCAGATGATGCGTCAAAATATTAAAATTAAAAAGTGGCTAGAATAAACCAACAACTTTTTTAAGTATCTTTTAACGTTCTACTATTTTTTGCTTAGCAACATGTGTTGCTAGGTAAAAATATTTTATCAATACGTCTACGCAACTTAACCATTTTGGCTGAATTTGTCTTTGCTCTTTTATTATCTCTACTTATTTGGCTCTACCTAGATAATTCTTATCATGGGTAATACAGAAAGTAATGTCACTAGTGGAGTTAAGAAGCAAGCTGGTGCTTCTATGCAACCAATCTACAAGTTATGTAATTTAAAAGGTACACGTATATAAATTAATATGGCCAAAAAGGGAATATTAACCAAAACAATAGTAGAAAATACGATAAATAAATTTAGTAAGATAAAAATTAATTGTAGGTGGTGGTTTATTGGTTGAACTAATGAAAAGAGCCACACAAAATAAGCAGTACGCTGAGATAGATCATGCTATAAAAACTAAAGTGCCTATTTATGTATTCAGTTTTTAATCATGGTTTTTTAATTTACAATATTTTAGGTCGAACAATTTTTATACAATAAAGGTGCTGGGAGGTATATACCAATATCAGATTTGGTACTTCTTAGAAATAAGGAAAGAGGACGTCACAAACTGGTTAATATTATAAAAGTTTGCCTTTTCCTATTTTAATATTTATATATTTATAGTTGCCCCAATTAAAATGCATGGAAAATCCTGATGATTACGAGGTCGAAGATGAGGGTCCAGAAGTATCTGAAGAGGAATATCAAAGAAGTAAATACATTTTAACAACTTGTTGGTAATAGTTTAAATTTAAAAGAACAAAATACCTAATTAATAGAGACCGAACCTTAAAAATACCAAGAAAATCTCGTAAAAGTCCACACAAATAGATAAAATAAAGATGTAGAAAGGCAAACAAATATTTTTTGGGATAAATTTACTATTTTTAAAATAAATTAATACTCCTTCTATAATAGTTTACCAAGCAATCCTACTTAAAGTAGAAGTAAAATTGAAAAAATAGTATATTAATAAATATATTTCTAAGGCGGTACTTTCAGAAATTCTTTACTTTTGCATTTTTCATCAACATTAAAAAAGAAACTAGTTCTTTTAATATCAATCAGGCAATTTTTGACGCCTATCTTTTTGAAACTAAATAATATATTATTTATATTTATTCTACTTTAATCAATTTTGGCAAACATCAAGACACTTGTTTTTATAAAAAGTAGAAAAAAAATTTCTATTAAAATAGTCTAGAATTTGGTCTCTATTAATTAGAATTTATTATAGGCAAATAATTCGATATTTTAAAATTTAGATCCCCATTTATACAGACACGTTTGCTGGAAATTAAAAGATAGAGGGGCGGTTGGAGAAACAATTTTACATTTATGTTTATTAAATGCAACATCCCTTCACGCTGATATCGCTAAACGTTTGTTAAGGTTTTATCCCAAACTAATTAACGATATTTATATTTCGGACGAATATTATGGTAAGTATAAGTTTGTAAAAAATGGCGAATGCACCGGGATAGTTTATAAAGGGTGGGCCATCTATAAGTTGAATTTTAAACTACGTGCTATTAATGAAGCTTTCAACTTAAGCTCCATGAATTGTTGACAGTGGTTTAGTTTTAAGCTTCCGATTACAAAATATGCACCAAATAAATTTGGATCAACGTTTCGAAATACTCAAAACTTACTTTGAATGTGACTGTGATCGCAGAGACAGCAAGAAAATTGCGTTTGGAAGAAATGAGGCGCCGTCAAACCAAAGTATTACAAATTTGATCAAAAAATTGCGCGGAAATGGAATGCTGGTGGACATAAAACATGTTTCGCATGCTCGTCCTAGACGTACACCTAAAGCAATCGCTGCTGTGGCCGAAAATGTACGCATGAACGCGTCAACATCAACTCGGTGCAGATGTCAACAACTCGGCCTTTCCCGTACCACTCTGAGGATGATTCTGCACAAAGACCTCGGTATGTTTGCGTACAAAGTCCAGCTTGTTCAGGAGTTAAAGCAAGTTGACCATCCACAACGTTTTCGCTTTGCTGAGTGGGCTTTAAACCAGTTGAACGATGACCCTAATTTTGCAAGAAAAATCATCTTTTCGGATAAGGCGCATTTTTACCTCGGAGGATATGTCAACAAGCAAAACTGTAGGATTTGGGCCACGGAAAATCCACACGTCGCCGTAACAAAGCCTATTCACCATTTAAAACAAAACATTCAAGCTCAAATTGCCTAAATAGAGCAGCAAACTTTTGACAAAGTGCTCGAAAATTGGTGTTCCAGGATGGGCTACTGCCGAGCCAGCTGAGGTGGCCACTTAAATAAAATCATTTTCCATACTTAATCGGAAGAAACATTGTATCAAATAAAGCAAAATTCGTTGTAAAAAAATCAGTTTTTCTTGTTCTCATTGCTATTTTATAATTCAACATAAACATGGCCCACCCTTTAGTAACCACAGTGATAGTAACTGTTAATTTAATGTATTTTAAAAACTGTGCGCAGTAAGAAAAAAATACAAAATATTACTTTGGCCACAGAATAGCCAACCTTTTCTTCTGTAAAATATTTACCTTTTACAGAATATATTCGGTAAAATCACTTAATAACCGTAATAATTTATGCGTTTATTTGAAACACTATATTTTTATGTAAATATTACATATTTTTATTCGTAATTTTACCATCATTTCTTACTGTGTGTACCATTGGATCGGGCCTGCAGACTTTCCATTTATACATTTAAAATATATCTTTAATTAAAAATAAATCCAGATGGGATCTGAACGTTTGTTATATTCTAATATTTGTTAATTGTGATTATTTATTTATTATTTGTTTTATATTTAATTTATTAATTTAAATATTTGTTATTTATTAGTAACGAATAATATGGTAAGTATAAGTTTGTAAAAAATGACGAATGCTCCGGGATAGTTTATTTAATGTATTTTAAAAACTGTGCACAGTAAGAAAAAAATACAGAATATTACGTTGGCCACAGAATAGCCAACCTTTTCTTCTGTAAAATATTTACCTTTTACAGAATATATTCGGTAAAATCACTTAATAACCGTAATAAATTATGCGTTTATTTGAAACACTATATTTTTTATGTAAATATTACATATTTTTATTCGTAATTTTACCATGATTTCTTAGTGTGTGTACCATTGGATCGGGCCTGCAGACTTTCCATTTATACATTTAAAATATATCTTTTATTAAAAATAAATCCAGATGGGATCTGAACGTTTGTTATATTCTAATATTTGTTAATTGTGATTATTTAGTTATTATTTGTTTTTTATTTAATTTATTAATTTAAATATTTGTTATTTATTAGTATCGAATATTATGCTGCCGTGCTTAATGAAAACGCCGTAACCAACAATTTTGCGATTTTTGGTTTACGGCATTTTTTACTAGAACAATTCATCCTGCGTCTATCCCCGGTACTCAAAAAACCGTATCTATATATATACGGTTTTTTGAGTACCGGGGATAGACGCAGGATGAATTGTTCTAGTAGAAAATGCCGTAAACCAAAAATCGCAAAATTGTTGGTTACGGCGTTTTCATTAAGCACGGCAGTATGGTACGTATAAGTTTGTAAAAAATGGCGAATGCACCGGGATAGTTTATAGTTAATTTAATGTATTTTAAAAAGTGTGCACAGAAAGAAAAAAATACAGAATATTACGTTGGCCACAGAATAGTCAACCTTTTCTTCTGTAAAATATTTACCTTTTACAGAATATATTCGGTAAAATCACTTAATAACCGTAATAATTTATGCGTTTATTTGAAACACTATATTTTTATTCGTAATTTCACCATGATTTCTTACTGTGTGTACCATTGGATCGGGCCTGCAGACTTGCCATTTATACATTTAAAATATATCTTTAATTAAAAATAAATCCAGATGGGATCTGAACGTTTGTTATATTCTAATATTTGTTAATTGTGATTATATAGTTATTATTTGTTTTTTATTTAATTTATTAATTTAAATATTTGTTATTTATTAGTAACGAATATTATGGTAAATATAAGTTTGTAAAAACTGGCGAATGCACCGGGATAGTATATAGTTAATTTAATGTATTTTAAAAACTGTGCACAATAAGAAAAAAATACAGAATATTACGTTGGCCACAGAATAGCCAACCTTTTCTTCTGTAAAAGATTTACCTTTTACAGAATATATTCGGTAAAATCACTTAATAACCGTAATAATGTATGCGTTTATTTGAAACTATATTTTTTATGTAAATATTACATATTTTATTCGTAATTTTACCATCATTTCTTACTGTGTGTACCATTGGATCGGGCCTGCAGACTTGCCATTTATACATTTAAAATATACCTTTAATTAAAAAAAATCCAGATGGGATCTGAACGTTTGTTATATTCTAATATTTGTTAATTGTGATTATTTAGTTATTATTTGTTTTTATTTAATTTATTAATTTAAATATTTGTTATTTATTAGTAACGAATAATATGGTAAGTATAAGTTTGTAAAAAATGGCGAATGCTCCGGGATAGTTTATTTAATGTATTTTAAAAACTGTGCACAGTAAGAAAAAAATACAGAATATTACGTTGGCCACAGAATAGCCAACCTTTTCTTCTGTAAAATATTTACCTTTTACAGAATATATTCGGTAAAATCACCTAATAACCGTAATAATTTATGCGTTTATTTGAAACACTATATTTTTTATGTAAATATTACATATTTTTATTCGTAATTTTACCATGATTTCTTACTGTGTGTACCATTGGATCGGGCCTGCAGACTTTCCATTTATACATTTAAAATATATCTTTAATTAAAAATAAATCCAGATGGGATCTGAACGTTTGTTATATTCTAATATTTGTTAATTGTGATTATTTAGTTATTATTTGTTTTTTATTTAATTTATTAATTTAAATATTTGTTATTTATTAGTAACGAATAATATGGGCGCAGTGGGATAAAAATGAGACAGCGAAAACTTAGGGTAAAAATGAGACAGTCACATATAATTTTACTAAACAGTGTTATTGGGACACTAAAGTAGCTATTTGTTTACTATATACTTATATACTTAAATACATATTGATAAGCTCATTAAAATTATAGCTAACATTCAATAAATTACTTCGAGTAAACACATTGCATTTTAGACATCGAAAACTTTTAAATCGAAGCGGCAAACTTTTGCTGCAAAGCTTAGTTAAAGAATGCGACGAGCTCGGTTAAAGTCGCGCTGTGTTCGGTAATATTGGCGGAATATTTTACGACGTTGCGCAGTAGTTTAGAACTCGCTGTTAAGGAGTGAGGAGGTGTGATTTGGGTGGGGTAAATTTGAGACGGTTGCTGAGGTAAAAATGAGACAACACATGGGGCAAAAATGAGACATAATTATTAAATTTTTTAGATACAAACGGACCAAAAAATGCCTAGAAAATATGTGCCAAAAGCAAAAGCGTACGTCGAGGCAGATTTAGACAAGGCGCTTACCCTAATAAAGCAGGGTACACTATCTATAAGAACTGCTTCGAAAATGGTTAGAATCGACAAATCGAAATTAAGCAGATGTATTAACAATAAGAATTCTTCAAAACGTGGCCGAAAAGAAGCTTTGTCAAAGAAACAAGAACAAGACTTAACTGAAAAAATTATTGTGATGGCCAAATGGGGGTTTGCTCTTTCCAAAGGAGAAATACAGTCGGTGGTTCAAACTTACGTGAACGAAAATAACTTGACAACAGTTTTTAAAAATGGAAAACCCGGCGATGATTGGTTTCGCATGTTTTGCAAGAGAAATAATTTAAGCCAAAAAAAGTTGGAACAGTTGCAAAAGTGCAGGAGAACAGCTACCAGTGACCCCTTTATTATTTACTCATTTTATGACAGACTTGAAGAAATAATAAACCAATTGGATTTGCATGACAAACCATCACACATATTTAACTTGGATGAAACAGGTTTCAATTTGGACCCCGGAAGAGTAAGGGGTGTTGCTGCTGTAGGCCAAAGAGTACATAGGAGCATCGAGGGCTCTGGGAAAGAAAATGTAACAACCATGGCTTGTATTTCAGCGAGTGGAGTGTTACTTCCTTTAAACGTTTGTGGTGGTATACCACCACATGCCACAGACATTTTACAACCTTTGGATAAATGTTGCTTCGGACCACTTAAGCTAAAGTGGAACCAAAGGCTTATCGAATGGCAACGATTAAATCAGAGAAGGCTTACAAAAAGTGAGTTTTTTGTGAATTATGGAATAATGGAATTTCAACAGCTGTCATAAAAAAATCATTTGAATGCACTGGAATATTTCCCTGCTGCAGGGAAAAATATCCAAAGGAGCGACTGAATCAAGTCAAACTGCAAAAATACAATGAAGGAACCAAAGAAGGTAATCCACTCGACATTTTTGACCAACAGGATGAAGACGAGGAAAATAAGCAAGAGGAAGGAAATCAAGAAAATACGCAAGTCAATAAACAAGAAGATAGGAATGAAAATGAGGAGCGTAACAATTACGACAACGGGAAAGATGCAGGAAATACATCAACCTGTACCGTCCAGGAAATTCTTGCCACTCCATCCACTTCATCTACTTCCTTTGAAAGTATTTTACTCGGCAAAATAAATAAAACAAATTCTGAAACAAAGCGAAGACGTAAAGTTGATTCTAATTGTGCAGTGCTAACGAGTTTGGAATATTTAGATCGCATTAAAGAAAAAAGAAGCTGTGCAGATCAAGAAAAAAAACCAGCACAAAAATCGCAAAAGCAATTGTCTATTCATCATCGGAGAGTGAAGCAGAGAACGTGATTTATGAAGAAGAGAGTGACATTGAAGGTATGACACTTGAAGAACTAAATAGAAACGATAATCCTTCGGATGAAGAAATTTATTCAAGTGAGATCGTTTCTGGGGACTACATTTTAATCAAGTTCGTTACAAAGAAGAAGGTTGTGCATTACGTGGCGCTAGTTGAAAATGTTGATAAAAACGACTTTGGAGTGTCGTATTTGCGCCGAAAAGGAGACAAGTTTATGTTTCCTCAAGTGCCTGAGAAATTCGATGTACCGAAGGAAGATATCGTAATGAAATTGCCCGTTCCGACGTTCCACGGAGGAACAGCTAGAGTTTCTCAAAAACTTGTGTTTGCCATTAACTTTGCCAAATTTAATGTAAACTAAATATCATTAGTTTTTAGGTGTAATTTAAGAATATTTATAGTTTGTGTATATCTTTCAATATTTTGCTTGCCAGAATATGTTTTTGTTGCGTATTTCAAAGGTTTTTTGGAAAAATTAAACAATTTTTCGTATAAATTCTGTCTCATTTTTAACCTGGCCTGTCTCATTTTTAACCAGAAATATTAAATAGCACAATATACGCTTGAAAACACAGTGTCTCATTTTTGCCCATGACTGTCTCATTATTACCCCCAGAGCCGGGTAAAACTGAGACATGATTTTTATTTTTTTCTTGAAAAACGGTTTTAGTTTGGTAAAACTTTCTATACTTATATTGTTCCCCATAACATTCAGCATAAGATAGTAATTTTTTGGTAAAAAACTTCTTGCAATAAGTTGACTAAAAATTAAAAGATTTGAAAAGTGTCTCATTTTTACACCACGGCGCCTAAGTATAAGTTTGTAAAAAATGGCGAATGCTCCGGGATAGTTTATTTAATGTGTTTTAAAAACTGTGCACAGTAAGAAAAACTATATATATTTTATGTAAATATTACATATTTTTCTTCGTAATTTAACCATCATTTCTTACTGTGTGTACCATTGGATCGGGCCTGCAGACTTGCCATTTATAATAATAATTTGACCTTGATAATTTTCATTTTTTTTATAAAACTATTAAAAATATTCCTTAAAAATCTTGCATATAAACAAAAATAGAACAATAAATATTTTATCATGTAGCGCTTTAAAATATATAAAAAAATTAAGGTCTAAATGTAATCAATATCAAAGAACTTTTATTTTTCCTCGGCCTTTTTATTGATAAATAATTTATTTTTATTTTAGGCGAAAACGTTTTACATATAGCTATTGTCAACGAAGATCCATCTATGGTAAGATATCTTTTAGATTCAGGAGTCAATTTTCAAGAGAGATGTTTTGGGAATTTTATGTGCCCTGAGGACCAAAAGTCTTCTCGCTATGACTCAATCGATCACGAATGGGTCAACGTCTCTCCTTTTACTAATTACGAAGGGTAGGAAGAATTTTAATTTTAACAATGTTAAGCTTACTATAGAGAGTAGATAAAGATAAAATAAACCTAAATGATTCTCCACTAGCTACAAAAAATATTATGGCATAAAAGCAATTTAGTATAAAAAACCTACGCGGTTTAATTAAATTGGATATCGCGTAAGTTATTTTATTTACCTACTTATGTTATGTTTTATAAATCGCAGTTGGACTTTGTAGTGTTACTTTAACTTATTTAAAAGGTTTATAGAGAACCTAATATTATGAAAATTATGTATATATATTATGTATATTTATATACATGTATATTAGGGTGGCCCAAAAAAATAATATTATTTTTTTTTCTCGTCTCTTGTAAAAATATGTTAGTTTATCATGCTGTAAGAGCCCTGTCAAAATATCACCTGGATTAAAAAATTTTTAGGGATCGCTCAAGATTTTTAAAAATTTTCAAAATCGTCAAAAATTGAATTTATTTTTTAGGTTGAAAATAATAAAAATTCTGTAAATTTCAAATCAATATTTTGTCTTCTAAGGTCGCTAAAAGTTCGTTGATATTTAAATTCAGAGGTCGCTCGAAAACATTCAAAATACTCTACTTTGAAAGTAAAAAAAAATGTTGAGTGACCTTTAGAAATCAAAATATTGATTTGAAATTTTCAGAATCATTATTATTTTCAAATTACAAAATAATAACGAGAAAAAAAAATTAAAATAAAAAAAAATCCAATTTTTGACGATTTTGGATATTTTTAAAAATCTTGAGCGACCCCTACAAAATTTTTAATGAAGCTGATCTTTTGGCAGGGCTCTTAAAACATGACAAACCAACATATTTTCACAAGAGACGAGAAAAAAAATATTAAAGACTTAAATTCTGGTCTTGTTAAGAGCTGGGTTGACGCACTTACCATCACTACTGTGCACAATATAAACGAACATTAGGAAAACTTGTCGGGACTCCCTGAATATAATGTTTTTTATAATTTAAGTTAACTTTGGTAGATTGTATTTTTTTTAGTTATGTTTATTGGGGGGAATATCCTTTGACTTTTGCCGCTTGCTTGGGCCAAGAAGAATGCTTTAGACTCATGTTATCACGGGGAGCTGATCCAAATGCACAGGATACGAATGGAAATACAGTTCTACATTTACTAGTTATATTTCAAAAATTGGTGAGCATAAATTTTTATAATAAATATGAACTTATTTAATTTCATTTTCTTTTTTGTTTAATAGTATATTTCTAGGCCCAAAAATAAATAGAGTGTAAATTTCCTCAGAAAAAAAGTCCCTTCTTCCTTGTCAAGCCCTTTACCCAAAACCTACTGTTTCTATTTAAAAAGCAAGCACATAATTGAAAAATTTAAAAGCAGAAAATAAGTTAAATATGGTCTAAAATTTAAAATTCTTCAAAAGTATAATACAAATATTTTTTAAACACAATTTTGGTTTTATTTTATAATCCTTATTATTTATTAAATAGTATTTTTTTTTAATTATCTAGGTATTATATTAAATTAACGATTACTGCCTTAAAATATTAATTTAAAATATAAGTTTACATAAATACCAGTTTGGACTATGGCGGTTTTTGTAAGAAGCGCCTTAATTGTACTTATTATTAAAAAAACACATTTTTATTGTTATTTACATACAAGACACAGTATGTTATACAGGTGTATCAAAAGTCTCGTTTTGATGATCAAAAAATTTGAAAAAATTTGATCGTACATTATACTAATGCTCTTCGCCCTTTCTCTGCTGTTATTTTTAAGAATGTCTAACTAAAAAACTAAAAAAAAATTAACAGTTATTTTTAAATTGTTGTATGTGACACTGCTTTTTAAATCACTATTATGCTAATTTGTTTAAAACATTTTTCTGAAAATTAAAAAAACATTCCTAGTAAAGGGTTGCAATAATCCTTAACAAATATTACTACTTAAATATTACTTCTTAAAATAAAACTTGACGTGGGCCATATTGTGCAAGTATTATATTAATTATTATTATATTAATTACAAGTTTTTAAATATTTATTTTTATTTTAGGAGACATTTGATACGGCATATGAAGTAGGTGCAAGTTTATCAATTAAAAATGTCTTAAATTTAACGCCATTAACGTTGGCAGCTCGATTAGCAAGAATAGATATGTTTTTTCATATTTTAAATTTAGAAAGAGAAATATATTGGCAAATTGGTAAGTCTCATTCTTAATTAATATATTACATAACGGGAAAATTTAATGAAGGTAAACTTTTTTAATCCAATATTATTTTTTTATTTATTTAAATTTTTTATAATTTAAACTTTAGTATGTTTTTTTAATAGGGTAAGCAACCCATTTTTTTTCTTGACTTGCTTTACACATTACGTGCCAAAAGTTGCTCAAGAATATAATGTTTAAAATAAAGAATTACTAAATTTTCGATCATCTTCAGAGTCCGCATGAGAATTTTCTTTTTTAAAAGAATAGCAAGTTTTAAAAAACACTATATCTTTTATAAGAGCAAAAAAACAAAAATGGTTTTTATCTGTAAACTAAATTAAGACTTTTGCAAGCTAATGAATATTCAAATTAAAATAATTAATAATTTTTTGAAGATTTAATATTATATAATAAAAACGCGAATATTTACAAATGTGATTGCCCTGCAGACCCTCTAAATATTTTTTAATTTTAAAAAAGCTTTCACATCTGTAATCGAGATTACAATACCAACTTTTCCACACTAATGCTATTTTAATTTAAAGAACAAAAATTGAATTTTTTTGCTCCACCCTAATATACAGTGCTCGATTTCTGAAAATAGAGGTGCCGGAACTGTAACCTCCCCAGGAAGGTTTGGTTATACTAAATATTTATTTTTTACCAAAGATCAACAGAAATAAATATAAAAAAACATTATTTTTCTATAATGCTAATATACTTACATATCTAATTATAGGTAGCATTACATGTGCAGCATATCCATTGTCACAAATTGACACAATAGATCTGGAGACTGGACATATAAGTAAAACATCTGCATTAAATTTGGTTGTATTCGGGGTAAGTTTAATTTAGCTGAAACAACATTTTATCTTTGGGGATGGGGATTAATCAGGATAAAATACTCTTAGTGGAGGCCTGCAATTGAGCTAATCACGAAAATACCCTTCATGGCCGCATGGTATACAACATTTTAAATATATAGGGTTCTATTTTAAATTTTAGGATACAGGGTTTTTTTGTGTATTTTGTTAAACATATTTTTCTTATTATTTAAAGCAATGTTCCATTGAAATATTTCAATCGGTTTAGAAACTGGATCCTGGCTTGTACTTATATAAAAATAGGTTTTTATGATTTTTTAAAACATTTGTCCTGCAAAATATTTTTTGGGATAAAGATGAACATTTAGAATTAATGGATGCATCCATTGCAATGGTGTCCTTATTGATTTTTTGAATTCAAAATGGAATACCTTCGTAAAATTTAAATTTTAATAATAATTTTTCTTGCAAAATCAGTTTTTAAACCTGGCAACTTTTGGAAAAACTTTTGGTATTTTTTTAGGATAAAGATGAACATTTAGAATTAATGGATGGTGTCCTAATTGATCTTTTGAATGCTAAATGGAATACCTTCGTAAAATTTAAGTTTTATAGACAATTTTTTACTTTTGCGTTTTATTTTTTAAACTCTTTAATAAGTTTTACATTAAGACCAGGGCCACCTATTCCAAAGGAAAGTTTAAATAAGACAATTTTAAATACAACAATCCATTCAGAAGTAAACTATACATCATTTGGAATCAGTTTGGAAAACACTAGCTTGGATAATTCAGGTAAAAAGATTATACTACATTTTTCAAGACAACTATTTATATAATTATAATTATAGATGATGATTATAATGTTGAAGAATGGTGGGATAACTTACAGGAGGATTGCAGACTAATGCAATTAGATGCCCCAGAAGATAAAATAAGGTTTATAGCAGAAATAGCAATGACTATTGGGGCTTTTATTTATTTAGCAGCAGCTGTAAGAGAGGCGAGATTTTTAGGGGGAAGAATGTTTTTTGAAAATTTGGTTGGTTTTAGCTTAGTAAAATATACTAACAATAAAATATTATATTTTTTATTTTTAGATGACTGCACCTTCGCGAGTAATGTTTTTATTTTCATGTATTTTAATGCAAATTGTACCATGGTTGCGGGTTGCTTGCGAAGATGAAATTGAAGATACTGTAGCGGTAATAATTATGTTAACAACAGCGCCCTATTTCTTATTTTTTTGCAGGTAAATTTTATTTTTGCGGTTGAAGTGTTCATAAAAACATATGAACTACTGCCCCATCTTTAAAGGCTTGTGGCTACAACTATCTATAAATAAATAATAATTAATTTAAATTAAAATAATACAAAAATATGTGTCATTTATGTTTTTATAGAGGTTTTAAAACCGTTGGCCCTTTCGTGGTGATGATTTACAGAATGGTAATGGGAGATTTAATAAGATTTGCTTCAATATATTTGGTATTTGTAATGGGATTTTCACAAGGTATAAAAAAATAAAGCTTATTTAAAATTAACCTATACATTTGGACATATATTTACCCTTTGTATTGTTTATTCGGTTAGCGGAGCCAAACAAACTTAACTTGATTCAGACATGTCTTAATTTGTTTTAGCTTATTACATAATATTTTTATCATTCGACAATCCTTTAACTCCTGATAATGTGGATGATTCAGCTACAAATCCAATGTCGACTCCGATAGAATCTATAATGGCAATGTTTTTAATGTCCATGACAAATTTCGCAGATTACTATGATGCTTTTGCCAGAACGGAACATGAATATGAGGCAAAGGTACTATATACTGGGTGTATCGAAAATGGCAAACTAACACTATACCACGCAATAAGGGGGTTATTTTTAAGACCGATTACGAAAAATTTGAGTATTCGAATAGAGGTGAAAATCGATTTTAAAACTATTCCAATACTCGATTAATCAAGTATTCGAATAATCGAACATTTGGGTATTTAAATATTCGAATATTCAAATATTCGAGTATTCGAAAATTAAAATATTTCGATATTAAATATTGGGTGTATGTTTTTCAAGTCGCAATTTTACTAACACTATACCACGCGATAAGGGGGTTATTTTTAAGGCTGGGAATCGATTACGAAAAATTTAAGTATTCGAATAGAGGTGGAAATCGATTTTAAAACTATTCGAATACTCGATTAGTCAAGTATTCGAATAATCGAACATCGAACAAATATACGAATATTCAAATATTCGAGTACCTATTCGAAAATGAAAATATTTCGATATTAAATATTGGGTGTATGTTTTTCAAGTCGAAGCATTCGCGTATTTAATTTATTTTTGGAGCAAAAAAACGCCATATTTGTACAAAATACAAGCCCTACTATTTCAGTTTTTAAGAGTAAATTTTTAATAATTCATATTAGCGATTTTTTAAACAAAATCTAAACACTGCACTGCAGTGGATTCACCACCCCTCGAAACGACCCTATACCAAATTTTATTGAAGTAGAAAATGCACAATAATAACTACAAAAATTTATTTTGTCAAGTTATCCATTAAAATAGATTGAAATAAAATTAAACTAATAGTAACATCATGTTACTAACATGGTACTATTAATATTAGTTTAATTTCATTTCAATGTTTTTTTCATGGATAACTTGACGGAATAAATTTTTGTAGTTTCAATTTTTCAATAAAATTTAGTAAAAGGTCGTTTTGAGGGGTGGTGAATCCAGTGCCGTACTTAGATTTTGTTTAAAAAAATCGCTATGAATTCCTAAAAATTTACTCTTACTGACATAGTATACCTTGTACAAATATGGCGTTTTTTGATCCAAAAATACAGTTTATCAAGATCTACACTTTAAAAGAAATCCGGTTAAAATCGCACAATAAATAAAGATTTTACAGGGGTGAGTCACACTGTATACAATAATACAAACAAATATTTGTTTCATAATTTTTACTTTTACCACCTTGTTTTAGATATTGTTTGTTATATTTATGGGAATCGTAGCTATACTTTTAATTAATATGTTAATTGCTATGATGGGTAACACTTATCAAAAAATAGCTGAGACCAGAAATGAATGGCAAAGACAAGTAAGTAAATAAAAATCCAATAGTTTTTTGCTTGCTATATAAGCAGATACCATTATTATTTTATGCAACTTTTTATCTGCATGCACTATGTCTTTTTTAAAACAAAAAGTAAAAAATAGTAAATAGTTCAGTAAACCTTTGAGAATGTTTGAAAAATATATTTTCTAACGTTTACCCAACTACCGAGGTTATTATTCCGCTGCCTATGAAAATTAATTGAGATTATTTTATAAAAATCAATATTTTTCCGATTTCCTATTTTATTTACAGTTGTATTATTGTTTGAAACAATAATAATTATTATTTTTCATTAATTTTTAAACTTTTAAACTGTTTTTTCTACTTCCTGTTATCGATTCTTTTTCTGACCTTAAACCAATTTTCAATAATTTTTATATTTTTCTTATTTATATTTTATAAATATTTTAATAATTTTCCTTCATTTTATCATAAAATTTGTATGCTGTTGTAACATAATTTTAAAGTGTATTAATTTTGTAGTGGGCAAGAATTGTTTTGGTAGTCGAAAGAGGTGTGAGTCCACCGGAAAGATTAAAGCAAATGATGGTCTATTCGCAACCCATGTCAGACAATAAAAGAGCATTAGTTTTGCGATTAAATCAAACGGTACTTATTAGCTGTATAATTAATAATCGGCATTTCCAAATTCAACGTAACAAAAAAGCGTGATTTCTATCAACATTTATGTATCAATATGATTCAGTCTAAAAAAAATTAAAATTCACCATATTCACTTGAATAAAATACACACACTAACGTAACTATATAAAAAAACCGAAACAAGCAAACTACTTATTTATCTACAAATAATGTGCAGTTCGTATGCTTTAAATGTATTGTTGACAAATCTTGCAGTCCTGCTTTTAATATGCTTAAAGGGTACTGTAAGGAGGTATTTAAAAAAATATATTTTAAAAGATTTTTTTAGTTTGGGCAAACGCAAAAACGAATGTTTAAACAAATCTAAAATTATCGCGCAGAACGTTGTTACGTTGAATTTGAAATCGCCGAATAGCTTTATTCGCGGATCATTTTTTAATTACCTAGTTCGGAATCGTAGTTTGCTCAGTTGGTAGTCAAACTACCAAGTCTTATACTTATCTGTTAACAAAACTAATATTAAATAACTTTAGGATGAAGATAAAGAAGAAATGAAAGAAATACTCGAAATGAAACGAAGACATGAAAGAAATATTAAAAAAAACTGGACAAAAAATAAAAATGATGTAGGCAGGCTATAAAATTATAAAGGCGCTTTCCAGGGGCTCTAGCTTCCTTATAAGGAGTTTTTTCTCGCACTATGTTTGTATTATATTTAAAATAATATAACATAACTCAATGTTATATTATATATTATTAACTTAAGATTATACAATTTTGAGCTATAAAGCTCATATGTACATTAAAGGGTTTAACATATTTATATTTGAAAATAAAACATGATTAATATTTAATATTTTTATATATTGTCGCAACTTTATCACGAGTAAAAATGAATATATCCCAATCTGAAATGAGTACTTTACAGTTTATTTGGTAAATTGGTGACTGTTTCTTTAATAGCTTGGGCCACATATTCCACATTGGATGGAGTTAAACCACACATGCTAATACGTCCTGATTTCAGCATGTACACATGATGTTGTTTTATCATGTGCTCAGATTGACATTCTAAAAAAAAACATAGAATTAATTAAACTTTTTGGATATCAAATACAATTTTTAATCTTAAAATTTACTTAAATGTGACCACGTCAAACAGCTCTATCTTACATATATCAAAAGATATTTTGTTTAGCGGCTTTAAAGTTTTTATAATAACTAGAAAACGCTTTAATCGATTTTGACTATTTTTGGAGTATACATTAATACTTCACTTAACTTAACTTCCTTTAAAACCTAAAGGCTACACAAGAAGTACGAGCTCCATGTTTACAAATGGTTTTCCAAAAGGGCTCTGCTGTTCTGTTTGTAAAGAAATAGTACCGAAACAGCAGACGTCAGTACAAAATGGAAATCAGCAGATCAATGTTATCATAATTATTGTAATTTTTTAGCCGGTTTAAAGTAAGATTAACTAGTCGGATCGCCGGATTGATCACATTCGCCGAATTATATACATACCATTTAATCCTGTATATGAAAACATTCCAATTTGAGAAGTAATATGGCTCCAGTCTCCTGGGGTACCAATGTCCTCTAAATGTTGCCTTAATTGTTTTCTCATTTCAATGATCCTTGAAGACATTGTCCGAATATGACCTTGCCTAAAAGGTATTAATATTAATTATAATTAATGTATTTTAAATTCGATTTAATAAGATATTATTTTAAAGAGGTTATTCCATATCAAATCACCCATTATTCTTTGTATTACTTTTAATATTATTAATATAATATGTAAAAACATAACAAACAATTTAGGTACTATTCCAAAATCACAAGTTAAAATAACTGTTCAATGGATAAAGTGTTATGACTGGTTAGTAACTTCAGATTGAAACCAAATTTAATAGAAACTTGTTCTTAAATGTTAAAAGTAAAGTATTTTAAATGTTAATTTTTTTTTTAAATCCAGTAAAAGAGCTGGGCGATTTGTTTATTGTTTACGTACCATTGCTCAAATAACTTAGGGTTGCTAAGTACATATGATACAATTGAAGAACCGTGATTAGGCGGGTTTGAATACATTCCTCTGACTACCAAAGTTATTTGTGATTTTACTTTAGGTATTTCCATCACATCATTCATTACAATGGTTAAATTACCAGCACGTTCATCTAAAATAGGCAAATTTATAGTAAAGATGATGCTTTTATTTATACAAAATGTTTAATATTTATAAATAAAACAATGAACTTACTATATAAACCAAAGTTCTTGGCGAAAGATTGGGAGCAAAATATTTCAAAACCTTGTTCCACAAAGTATCTTACAGCCCAGGCATCCTTAACCAAATCTCCTGAGGCAAATCCTTGGTAGGCGCTGTCGAAAAACGGAAAGAGTCTTCTTTCTCTGATTACTTCGGCAATTTGTTTCCACTGATCTGGTGTGGGATCACAACCAGTGGGATTATGGGCACATGGATGTAAAATAATAACTGCATTTTCAGGCGCATTTCTAAGATCCTCTAAGAAACCATTTATGTCCAAATTACGATTTTTTGGGTCCCAGTAGCGGTATTCCCGGGCTTCTTCAAAACCAGCGTTCAAAAATATTAACCTGTGGTTTTCTAAAATAAATAAAAGAGAATTTAAAATACATATTAGGTATAATATAAAATATAATAATTATTAATGCAGCTATTTTCTAAAATTAATTTACTATAAAATTGGCCAGTCATTCTCATTTAAAAATTAATAATTATTTATCAGGCCATATCGCATTGGAAACTTAATACATAATATGGTTTCAAAGAAGCAGGTTGTAACTGTTATCGCTTAATGATAAAAATATGAGAATTGGTGAACACATCTAAAGACACCGCGCCGTCGCACACTGGGTATCAATTCAGATACCATAAATCGTATTTTAAAACCATAAAACATATTTAATGAAATATATTTGATGTTTTTAAATAACATTTATATTATAAATAAAAGAATTAAAAATTATTGATTTATTTTATTTTAATTTAATATCGTAAAATGTATTAAATTTATATATAATTTAAAACAGCTACAATGTTTTTAATAGGAGAGGGTAGGGGGCATGCTTATTAATTGCCTCGCACACAATCTACTGCCTCGGCAGTAAAATGTATGCTCGACGATAATATGTGCTTTCTCCGCCTAGTCTATGTACTCTTATGTTTTAATTTTCAATCGTTTTGGGGGACAGCAACAAATTTTTAATAGACAAACAAAAAATATCGAAAAAAACAATTAACCCTTTATATTAAGTTGGACAACTTGATATACAGGGTTACTTAAAAACTGGGCCAGGCATATAAAAAAAACTATATAATAAGTTTGATTTTATTTTACATTATAAAATCAAAATCATGAATGGTCGAAGCTAAGTCAATATTTTACCACCTGTTGACTGGGCTAGGGGTGAACAATGATTTAACATTTAATAAAAAAAGACAATAGATCAAACATCTAAACGGTTATCATAAAAACAAAATGGACAAAGAATCTGCAGCGAGTTGAAGTAGACATGTTTAAAAAATTTACATTTAAATCATCACAAATTTGATATTACTGAGTCAATAATATTGACAATATTGACAAATTTTAACTTTTTATTTTTTAAACGTCCTTGATTTATAAAAAAAAGGGTTTAAAATTAAGCACAAAATTTGTAACAAAATCGAACAACTTTGATATTTTTGTTGGCGTTAAAGACACCTTATTTGGTTTTTTGCATATCTTTGTATAGGATTAAAAAGCACTTAATTTAATTATTTTAAATTATGTCTAATTTAATTTATCTTGCCATTAAATTTGTCTATTGAAAACAATTATTATAGGTAATATAATTTGAGTAAATTAGCGCACAAGGGTAAGATATGGTATCGGTTGGCTAATCTTTTTAATGAGCTCTATAATAGATAAATAAAATTAAGGACAGTGAAGTAATGTTGATAAATAAATATTTTTTCTATATACTGACAAATTCCAGTCTGGTCGCTACTCATTAAAGTCTTTTATTAATCGCAATTCTTATATGTAGGTTATAGTGCTTCGTTTTTATACAAACTAGGCAATAGCTGCTGAAAATGACGGATGATTGCGGGTATAAATTCTACGTCAAAACCAGTTAAAAGCAGATGATTGCGGATGTAAATTCTTCGTCGAAGCCGGATGAAAGCAGAAAAAAGCGGGTAAAAAAATCATCTGATAACATCTGCTTTTGTCCGCGTCGCTATATTGGTTGTATTGTATGTCCGGTTAGTGCACCCCCGCATTCATCTGTAACCATCTGTTTTTACCGTCTTCACTGCGTTTCGTTTACATCTGCATTTGTTCGGGATCATCTGCAAACGTCTGCTTACGTGTATCCGCGATTACCTGCATTTTTTTCGTCTATTTTTGTCGGGTTTTTCTGCACACGTCTGGTTTAATCCGCAAGAATATGCTTTTACCCGCAAACGTCTGCCTAGACGAATTTCACCCGCAAACATCTGTTTTTATCCGCGAACATCTGCAATTACCCCTCAAACATCTGCTTTTATCCGCAAACGTCTGATTTTATCTGGTTTTACATGCAAACATATGCTTTTACCCGCGAACGTCTGCTTTTATACGGCTTCACCCGCAAACATATGCTTTTATCTGCGAACGCCTGATTTCATCCGGTTAGTGCACCCCAGTGGCGTCTCGTCGTATAAAGCAACTGCGGCCGGGCCTCATATGTTAAAATTATAATATAGTGTGAAATTTTCCATACATAACTTATTTAAATATAAAACGTTTTTAAACTAATTTCCAGTCATTAAAAGTATCAAAACATCGAACAACCATCAAAGTTAAAAATAGTTCCTTTAAATTTAGCGCGCACCCCTTCCAACTTTAATTCTAAACGCTTATATCATTGCCCGACCGCATAATAGGGAAATAGTAATCCCAGAAATTTGCGCTTCCTATACGTCACACATTGCCGATACAACTCCATGCTCCCCACCGCGGCACGGTGCCGCAGGCACCCCCGCGAGACGGGGATAATATGCGAATTTTTGTAGACATTGAGGCCCACAAAGTTGGGCTTGAACATTATTATTTTAACAGTAACTTGCATGTTGACAAATGCTCGCTTTGATTTTGAAAAAATAAGTCAGAAATGATTGATAAATGATTCCATTGTTCCACGACATATCATTATATAATTAACACCCAACAACAAAAAACAGATGGCGCACTAAGAGTATTCCACGCTGTAGGGAGGGTTATTTTAGGTAGTTATAACTTTAAACTTTAAATCATCCTAACTTTGTTATTATTAACAAATTTTAACTTTATTTTAAAAACGTCTTTAGAAACTTGTTTTCTATCGTTTTATATAAATTAACTCCAAATAGCTGTTAATAATAACAAAGTTATAATGATTTAAAAAAATGTTTGACAGTGAAAAAGTATACACCTATAGGTGCATCTGTAAACCACGTTAACTTTACTAAAGTTTGTTAAACCTCGAAAACTACTAGTCGAAAAAAAAAGTGATTTGTGGATTACAAGAACAAGCCAAATGGCACATTAACATTAGGTATTACAAGTAATTACTTAAGCTAACAGTGCTGATTTCGCGTGCCAAATTCCTAACTTCTAGCCTACATGTAAATCCTTAATAAAAATAAATAAAATAAATAATAATACCCCAAGTTGGTTTAGAATAGTAAAATACTTTTAATCCAACAACTTTTGCCAAAAATTCAGAGCCTACTCGTAGAGCACCTGTTCCAGAAAGGGATTGTACACCAAAAGCCTGAAATAAAACAAATAATTATAAACTGGTGGTCAAAAGCAAATAAAATTAGTTATAATATAGTATTAGTATTAGTCTTAAACTATTTCTTTTTCTAGTATTAGTCTTAAAATATTTCTTTTAAAATCATTTTTTTTCTACAGGTATGACACGCGATAAAGTATATAGGGTGTTTCTTTTAGACAGGTCAATATCTCGAGAAATACGCATTTCACGGAAAAATGTCTTAAATAAAAGGTTAATATGACTAAAGGGGCCATTATTTGGTTCTACCGCTAGCCACCCCCTACCCCTCCTTAAGGGAGAAGCGGGGGGTAGGGGGCGATTTTTTTCACAGATTTTGGTAGTACATAAAAAAACGAATAACTTTAATTTGAAACTTTTTTTTTAATTTATCAACAGATGGCGCTGTAATTCAAAATTTAAGAAAAATGGGTTTCCTTGTAAATTGCGAATTGGAATCCTCGACTCAAGTAGAGAGCAAACAATATTCATTTTTACATAGCCCAAATACCTACACGTAAGGCAGAATGAATAACATTCATCAGCACACAATTTGAACACTTGACTCAGTTATAGAAATCAGGACATACATCAACTTTGACTCTGAACACTTCAGAAAGGTATTGAGAAACTTAATCCATTGAGTAGTATTCAGCACCTTGAATTACCTTTACCGGATCACAAAATATTCAATAAATATGAAAGTAAGAATCCACAAAGTATAAGAGCAGCAAAGTATTCGGACACATAAGCTGCGAATATAAAAAGTCAAATCTTGAATAAAACCATATTCAGGTCCATTAAACTTGAATACGGCCAAAAATTTTTCATTTGCAGTGACGGTGCATAGCACGTGACAGGCTGTATGCACAGTGACGCTTTGTACATTCCTTACTGGGGAATGTGCAATGGGCAACGCCCAGAGATTTCGACGCTTTTCGCTACATCGCACAGAGTGGTATTTAATCAATCTAGCTGGCCAAAAGTCCAAATGTTAAACTACAGAAAATACAAAAAACCACTTCTAATAAAATCTCCGATAATTAAAGCCCACGATAGATGCCCATGAGCACCTCTCCATTCGCAGATGACTTTACCCCGGCATGCCTCGCAGAGGTATCAGTTCGTCTTACTAAGTACTTGTATGTGATCACAGTGACAAAGCTATTTTTAGAACCTTTTTTTGTTGCCTTTTATTGTGACAAGTGTAGTTTTAGTGATTAGTACCGATGAACCAGGTTTTTACCATTACGTTGATATCATATTTAATAAGTTTTATTGGCATAATTTAAAACCTAATTTTTAGGTCTTTAATTTTAAGCATTTTTAACATATGGGAATAGTCCCGATGATAAATTCATTTTAATTTAGTAGCACCAATATTCTGCTACTCAAATTAATTAATAACTAGTCCCATCTTGTCCCCGTTTAAAATATATTCCACTTTTCGTATGTCAGGAAACAAAAGTAATAAAATGTTCAGATCTATGGTATTTTATTAATAAGTTTAGTTTATTATTATAGATTGTGTTATTGTAATTTGTGAATATGTGTGGATTTTATACAGGGTGTCCCAAAATACCAACTCATGACACTAAGCAGAAAATCAAAATATGACCTTAGTAAAAAATCGTTAGTTTTTGAGATATAGTCATTTTTATGAATTTTGTAAAACTTGACCCATAAAATCAGTTTTTGAAGTGCCACAACTACAACATTCTAAAAAAAATTACAATATTTTGTATTTTTATTAGGTTTTTTTACTCAAGAAAATTGCTCCCTCGTGCTTAAAAATTTACCTGATAATTTTCATCCACGCTTGTTGTACAATAGACTGGGCTTTCATGAAATAATTATTATAATTTTGGTAATAATTCTCGTGCGTGTAATACAGGAAATAAAATTTCACCATAATTTTCGCAAAAATTTTGTAAGAATTATTGTGTAAAACGGTTCGAAAACAAGCAGTTGCCAGTGTAGAGCACTCTAATGAAATAGTCATATTTACTGAAATAAATACTTACCTAAATTTTATAATAATTAAAATAAAAGAACAGTACCACAGGAGTTTCTGAACAAAACAAAAATACAAGCTTTGACTTTTGAAACACAATATCCAATATCATTGAGCCAATAAGAAAATGCAACAGAAAAGACAAACGGGCATTTTTGAGTTGCCGAATCTATGGAAATTTTCCTACTCTATCGATTTAAGCAATAAAGCCTGGAAAAACAATTTTAACAATAATTGTCATAATTGATTGTGCAACCCAGATAACAGCTTATATAATAATATTTTAAATGTCAGATTTAAAACATCCCAGCATCCTTAGATTAATAATCTCTCGCATCTTGATGTACTAAGTTTGAATTTTATATTTAAAAAGATTACCTCTCCCCAACATACAGAAGCAAATAAACAATATGAAGTTTTACAAAATTATTTTCCTTATATGTTACCCCCCCCCAAAGACAAAATTATCGACGCCCTTGGGTAGCACAGTGAACGAAAGTTATCAGCAAGATACATACACCTTATCAGAACCAAAGGACGTAGCTTGTGACAAGCTGCTTGTCTATGTGTTTTGGCAGACTCTACATGTTACCATCGTAGAAGGAGTACTACTCCAGCGCCTAAAAGACTTTATCTAGTCAAAACCGTGACTAATAGAGTTAATATATCAAACAAGGTGTTTATACTTGATAATACATCTTTAGGGAAATTTGTTATTGTAATTAAGTAAAAAGAACACAAATATATTTAAATGTGTTTAAGTTAAAAATAACATGGTTGTTATTTACAATTTTAAATTTCAAATTAGAAATAATGATGCGACCCAAGTTAGAAACAAACAAATATGTACTTACTTAAAGTGAAATGTTTGTTTAATGGCGCACTAACGGTATACCACGCTGTATGAGGCATTATTTTAAGTACAAAAAATTACAATTACAATTTCCTGAATAGTTTTTTAAAATTAATAAATTGATTTTATTTTTATTATTTTAATGTTTTGAGACTATTTTTTTATACAAGGATATACAACAACGTTCGAAAACTATAATTTTATTATTATTATAATTTTAATACTTAATATCCCATCAAGTGAAATGGCGTTAGTGCGAAAATTTTTGGACAGCCTATATATAGTTTGCAGGGTGTTGAAATATTTAATTATTTTAATTTGCAATTCTTTTTCGGAAAAAATATATGCGTTTAAATAAAAAAATACTGTTTAATGCTTCATATTCCTACAACAAAAACGTAGGTTAAAATTGTACACAATGCGAAAAAAACAAAAAACCATACAAGTTAATTATTTATATTATATATATAATTATAATTATTACTGAATTAGTTTATTGTTAAAATTTGTTGTGAAAATTTTATATTTAATAATTGTTTATTATAGAGCGAAAAATAATTATGATTAAAAAATATTTTTTTAGGGTATTAAAAGTAGTCAAAATCCCTAAAGACTTTTCTGAGGAATTAAAAATATATTTTGTAGATTAATTAAGTACCAAAAAAACAGTACAAAGTGCAGGAGAGGGGGTAATGCAGTACCAATAAATGGCGAAAAACCAACCAACTTTTTGTGGATGTTTTAAATTTGGAGTGCAACCTAGTGCACCATTTTCTGGGTGCAGTAAAAATACCAAATTGTGTCAGGAATGATGGTGCCAGGTTTATTTTTAAGAAATAAATTATCAATTAACAGTGTCATTAATGCTGTTACACTTTTTTTGTTCATTAATTATTATTAGAATTATTTTGTGTTTTCTAATTTCTCATTAATGTGTTTTACAACTTCATTTACAACAAAATGCTTTAATTTGATATTTGTATCTATTGGAATAGATACTAAACATTATTTTGCGTAAACAATTAAAAGGTATTTTGTTGAGTACTCACTGTTAAATAGCGATTTTCAAAAACTTTTTAATGAGGTATCACAAAGAGGTGGCTAAAGCTCAGGGGTGGCTTAGTGAAGGTCATTTTAGTGGAACCTAATACTGATTCCCCCACATATCCTAGATGCGGGTTAAAAAAATGTAAAATCTGAGAGGTTCAGGTTTCAAAAATAAAAAGATTGAATTTTTTTGTACAGTGGCGGACACGGAATTTCGAAAGACTATTCCGTTGACATCAAAATCTAAAACCGCCATTTTGACAGCGAAAACAAAAATGGTCATTATTATATCTTTGCTATTTACGGAATCACACAAGGAAAACCAAATTATGATGTTCAAAATTCCGGGTCCAACACTGTATTTTTGCACACATGGCTTTTAAGTGTCCCTTCTATACCATCACAAGCACCTTTTCCATGGAAGATAGCAAAAAATGCTAACCTGCTTCAATCACGTGAAGTTTATAGGCCACTTTTTTATCCCCTAACCCCTTAGGATACAACCAACAAATCTTTACCAATATTTTTTTAATTTAGTAACCATTGACAAATTGACAAAAAAATTACATTTGATTTTTCTTACAACGCAAATACTGTATTTTACTTGTAGGTCAGTTGATTATCATAATGATTGGTTACCTAAATTCAATTTATTTTACTTCTTGTTTTTTGAAATTTGATCTATAGTTCTTGAAAAACTACTTTTATACCGGGGCTTTTTTTTAAATTTAAAAGAAAATAATGTGTTTGCATATTTGCAAACAATCTTGTTAAAAAAAACATTATTTTAATAAAAAAGTTTTTATGAAATATTTATGTTTAAAAAGATACGCATTAGAGCTTTTCTTTTGGAAGGATAGGTCCCAGGTAGCACACTGACGTTTTCCGACGTTTATATGACGTCTTCTGACGTTTAAATGACGTTATCAACGTCATTTCAACGTCATATAAACGTCAGCAGACGCCAGTGTGCTACCTGGGGTAGGTACCTAACGAATCAAAATCTACGAAAAAAAAACAAAAAGTTAGAACTTTGGTTTTAAAGTGGCCTATTTGGAAAATATTGACCCATTACACTATTAAAACCAGGGTTTGCCTGATTTAATTAAATCACGATTTAAAGCAACAATTTAAATCAAGTGATTTTTTAAATTTTAATCAATGATTTAAATCAGTTTTAAAAAAAGTTTCTAAAATCTCTAAAAACACTTAAAAGATACAAAACTAAAGCACAATAATATCTTGACACTATTTAAATCTTGACACTGTTTAAATAAATTCATATGATGCATAGAAAAACTGATTTTTTTTTAAATCATAGAAAAACTGATTTTTTTTAAATCATGATTTTTTCGAACCCTGATTAAAACCGATTTTAAGACATTCTCTCATTGCAAAGATATTTTGTTTGTAAAAAATACAAACAATTTTGCATATAAAAATATATGGTTATCTTTTTCCCAAGCTTTTTTCCTAAATTCATGTTTAATTATTTAAAAAAAATTATAGTATAAGAAGTGTTATTACTATAACTTAATGAAACAATGTGTACCTACATTTGTACATACTATAAATATATTACTTATGGCATTTTGATTTCTAAGCCTATTAAAAAATCTGCCTAAAAATGCTGAATTCAAGATTTAAATCTAAAAATTATAAAAAGAATTCCAATATATACATATATTATGATCATTCAAATATATAAATATACAAATATACCTATTTATATAAAAATATCACAAAACTTTATTGCAATTAGGTAGTACCTACCTAGGTAGTACCTAGTTTAAATAGCTCTACAAAAAAAATTATTTATTTTTACCTATTTAATTTTTAAATTTGGAAACAAAATGTTGCCCAATTAGGTAGGTGAGTATATTTGTTAAAAAGTTGAGGAAAAAGTTAAACTTTTTAGAGATGTTCATAATTATTTTACTTGTAACCAACAAGATTTTATTTTATTTGAAAGGTGTTTTGAATAGTCAATTTTTAAAGTCAGTTTTATATAAAGGACTATATGATTTTAACCAACAGCCAAAAAATATTATAGACTGTGACTGTGATAACTTTTCCATGTTAAACTTTAACAGTTAAAGTATCTATGTATATGTAAAAATATTTGATGTAGGTACCTACACTGTACTTATATGTAGCTAAAGCATTAATTAATGCTAAATAAAAATATATAATATTAATATTAATTCAACTTACTCTATCTTCTATAATGGCAGGACTTTCTTCACCCAGTAGCATTTTAGTGGCAGCCTTAGTAAAAGATTCTAGCCCAAGAACAGGCAAATATTCTTTGTTTAAACTTTCATTCTCAGCCAAGATTTTTTCTGTTTCTCTAACAACTGGTAAGACCCATGGTTTACCTTCATCAGTACGATAGGCTATAAAATATAATTTTATTTTTAAGTTACCTATTTAATGAATAATTGCTTACCTCCAACTCCTAAACTAACTTTATTTGGAAATGTATCCTCGGCATAAGCCTTATTTAGGGCAAACACTTCAATAGGTGGTCCTTCTATAACTTTTGAGAACCATGACGATTTATTATTGGCCATGTCTGCTTTAATAATAAACCTTTAACAAAAGTTACAAGCAATAAAGATAAATTCGCCGCCGTTATATATATTACCACAACCTCAATGACCTTTAACTTTTATCTCAAAGGTCAAAAGTGTGGTATGTTTGAACTACTACCGCTTATCTGTTTTAAGCTACAAATTATTTGTTTTACAAAATATTTTCTATTGTTTTATTATACATATATAATTATCAACATTATTATATTCGATATTATAGTATATTTTACAAATATTTTTTGATTTGAAAAGCCACATCATTGTGCACCAATGAAGTAGAAAAGAACTACTTTTATGTGAAAGTATTTGACAGATGTCAGGTGAAAATATTTCAATTGAAACTTTAGCTTATCAGAATTTTTGTTGTTAGTAATTAACTAACATTTTATTAAGTTATTTATTCACTACAAATTTAACTACTTAAAACTTTGCGATATTCTTATATTTTGGTAAGTCATGCTTTATTTTATTTCAATAAAAATAAATAATCCATGTTTTGCAGAAATGTCGCAAACAGTACCATTACTTTTTGACGACGACGTTGAAACTGGGGGTAAAGAAAATGATATCGAAAATGACTTTGCGTACAGAAATAATGTACAAAATGCAACCAAGGCAATTCGATTAGGATTTATTAGAAAAGTATATGGGCTATTAACTATGCAATTAGTGTTGACAGTAGTTATAGCTAGTATTTTTATGTTTACGCCACAAATAAAGGAGTATGTGCATTCTAAGTAAGTAATAATAAATAATTTATCTTCATACCTTGTTCGAAAGTATGTACTTTTGTCCCTAATAGCAGGGACAAAAGTAAGTAGGGTGAAGTGGGGTAAGTGTAATCAAAAAAATGATACCTCAACTTTAAACTAAAATAACTAGAGAACCAATAGAGGTACAGGGCCCATTTTTTGCGAGATTATTGCTTATTTAGTTGTTTAAGAAATGCAAGTAAAACTATTTTTCTAACCGCCTTATTCTTTTATATATAAATGATAATGCTGGACCGAGTGTGCTGATTACACTTGCCCCAGCATTTGGGGCAAGTGTAATCACGACTCGTAGTTGCTAACTAGAAATCGTGCTAATGTGTCTGGGGCAAGTGTAATATAGAATACAAAATTCTGATTTTAACGAAATAAAGAACAAATTTATATCTTGTATGATAAGCAAGTTACAAGCTTTTTTGTGGTACATACTAAGGGAATAAAACTTTGGTGTTTTCTTCATTAAAAATCTGAAGCAAACAAGAATACATTACAAAATTATAAATTAAAGCCAAATATTAGAGACTGGGGCAAATATAATCACCGATTGCATTTACCCCTGACCCTGTGATTACACTTACCCCATGTATAGATTTTCTGGGGTAAATGTAATCACTACTGTAAATTTTGTTGTCATCATTCAAATCAAAATCTGGTAGCAGGACTTGATTCCTCTTGTAAAATAACCCAGGATAGCAAAATATTTAAACCCTTTTTTAATATTCATAGCAGGAATCTAAAATAAAAAATTTTAGGTGACACTCATAAGACAAGTATAAATAAAAGTTAACTTAAAAAATTTTTTGATCTTGCAGCCAGATCCCAAAAAAAGGTAAACAATCCACAAATAAGTAAAATAAGGGTTATATTTTTGAGTTTTAAATAAAAAAATGCCAAAAATTTCAAGAGAAAAAATACAGGGTGCCTGATTACACTTGCCCCAAGATTACATTTACCCCACTTAACCCTACCTACTTTAGACCGATGTATGAAGAAAAATAGTATACACCATATGGGCTATATACATTGAAATCTTGGTCCTGCGCGTCATGACGCGCACGCCGCCCTTGAAATGTGATATACTATATTTTATAATACAAATATAAGTTGTGAATTATAATACAGCAAAAGCACAAATTTTATTGCAAGAGCAGGGATAAGTGTATAAAATTCTTCACAAGAATAGTAGGTTATTGAAATGCCAACTCAACAAATAAAAAGACCAAATATGTCTATGCCTATCCTACTTATTTTTTTGGCTACACGCTCGTTTTAAATGTTTCTTTTCATGTGTAAAATTATCATTTTGTGGCATTCACAACCCAAAATCCTTTTAGAAAAGCCATTAAAATCAAATTCTGGTTTTATAGACCAAACGTTAAGTAGCAAATTCAATAAGGCTAGTAATAAAAAAAAATTGTAATATAATAACTGTTATTGTACAGCCATTCCACGTTACTCGGGAATTTTTGTAGCGTCCGTTACAATAAAAAATTGTGAGTAAAACTACCGTAATTATGATGCTTATAAGTTTAAGCCTAATTATTACAAGCATAATAAACATGTTTGCAATAGTAACTATTGTAATAGTATTTAATTTAATTACGGTAGCTTTTACTTACAATTTTTTATTGTAACGGACGCTACAAAAGTTCCCGAGTAGCGTGGAATGGCTGTGTACATATTTGCTACTCAACACACTGTTCCACTAAGGGGCCTTCTTTTAATGCTAAAACTGCTCAAAATTTACTCTCCCTCCTTCTTTGTGACAATGTGAAGACCCCACAAATGTGATAAATTATCAAATCTCCCTCTGTTCTGGTTTTTTTTCTTATTTTTGTACTTCATATAATAAGCTGACTAAAAGTGGAACAAATGAACGAATTTATTCAATTTTTAGAAAAAACCCTCCCAGCGTCACAAGATTTATGGACAGCCCCTAAACATTTTTTTCCTCAATACCAAATCAAATTACTTTGCAAAGTATAATGTTTATAAATTGATGATTTTTTAATATTACATAAAATAGTTATTTTATGCAAAGTGACAGTTTAGTTAGGGTGTCCCATCCCTTCAAACTAAAGCTTTTAGCACAGTGTGTCCCAAGATGAGGTTGCCAATATAAATAACTTTTTCTACTCCTATTACGGAATATGACCGTCTAATACCACTTTTAAATGTGACATATATTCCTGAAAGTATTACAGAATGCATTATTCTATCATCGATGACGGAATAAACACTGTTGGCGACATCTCTGTATTTTTTGGAAACGTAGAAAAAGTATAGTCTGAAACACGTTTGGAATTGCATATTCCGCTCTCGTGAAACTGTCAAACTCGCCTTCGGCTCGTGTGACAAACTCTTTACTCGAGCGGAATATGCCGTATTCCACACTTGTTACAGAATAAACTATTTTTATTATGCGTTTTACGGAAAAAAGTCATTATTCATAAAAACTCCTGCTTATTTAAAAAATGGCATTACCATAAAAAATTAGAAATCAAATGTACAGGGTGTTTAGAAATTAAGAAAATAATTAATATTTTTCATGTTTTTCTAATTTCTGAGCAGCCTGGACATTTCATTTAGTATGTTTGTATTGAAATGTTATTTTTTAAATAGGCAGTTTTTAAAAAGAATGTTTTTTTTTACGTAAAACGGATAACTAATTTTTTTTCTATTGGCAACCCCATCCATTCATAATAATAAAGTGTTTCTACTTATATGCGGCAATATACCTATAGGTCCCTAAACATAATGCCAAAATAGAGGTAGACAAGAATAATGTAACATGAACGAAGTTAAAGCATAAAAATTGCAAATCTTAAAAAAAATGGAGGCATAACTACATTCCCGCGACCTTGTCACTTTAGATGCACTCGAAGAAAGACTGAGACTTCTTAGTCTTAGTCATTCTTAGTCTTTATTCTTATCCCTGTGTGTATTAGAAAAAATCTTTTAACTAAAATTTTTAATATGGGGTTAGTTTTAAGGGCGTATTTCATAAACCACTGGTAATATGCTTTGGCAAACTTGTTAAGGAACCTTTAAGCTACAAAATATTCAAAGGATAACTTTTTAGACCAATGTATTCGAATTCTAAAGATATTTTAAAAAGTAGTGCTTCAATTTTGTCCACCAGTTTAGTATCCTTAATTCTAAATATGCGAGTATATATACATAATATAGTTACTTACATTTTGGTGTGTAAACAAAATATTTTATTATAATAGATCAATATTTCTTTTATACTCGTACTTTTATACTTACCTATATCTTAAGTTTTGAAACTAGGATGTGGTTAAGACTCTTAACCACATGCTGGTTTCAAAATAAGTTATATTATTATTGTTATTTTAATGGTCATTAACCCCTTTTATTTTTTACAGCGACTGGATGATGCTTGTATCCTTTATTTTAAGTATAGGACTACTTATTGGCCTACACATTAAACGAAGAGAGTCTCCTACTAATTTAATCTTACTGGCTGGATTCGTAAGTTATACATAACTATATATAACTATGCGTACGGTTTATACCCGTTTTTTTCTATCTCATACCCACAAATAATTTAATTCTTTATTAAAATTCTTATTACAACCATTATATAATTTATATATATAACTCAAAGATGGCGTCCGATGATGACTCGGATGCGTCTATACGCAGTAATAAAAGTAAAAAATCTAGTAGAAAATGTGAATTTTGTAATGGTGGAGTGCAGTCAGTGGTTAACTGTGTTATCTGCGGCTATGGTTTGCATAAAAAGTGCTTCAAATCTATTGCAAAAGTTATCAATGTGAATAAAGACAACTGGATCTGCAAGTCGTGCTTGCCTACTGAAAAATCATTAAATGAGCAAGAGCTACTCTATTGCAAACGTGAGTTAAAACTAGTGCATGAATACAACTTACAACTAAAAATAACTAATAAATTACTGCAAGAAAAATTATTACAATCAAATAACAATTACAAAACTTTATTTCAAGAAGAAGAAACAAAATCTACAAGTAATTTTACTAATTTAAATGAAATCCAAGAGATGGGGCAAGGTAGTACAAAATTAAAGTATAATGAAATAACAAAAAAACAATCACCTGTTCTAATTGTAGAAACAAAAAACTTAAGCAATGATATAAAAAACTTTACACAAAACATCAATCCGATTGACCTAGGTCCGGGCATAACAAATATAAAAAACGTAAACAAAGAGAAAATGATTGTCACCTGTTTAGATGAAAATGCAATGAATAATATTAAATCCAATATTGAACGATGCGCCGGTAACGACTTTAAAGTTTCAATTCCTGATAAATATAAGCCAAGAATTAAAGTTTATGATACGCTTCCTACTGAAAAATCCAATGAAGAGTTAGCTACAAGTATAATTAAATTAAACGATTTAAATGTTACTGATTCAAATAATTTTAAAATAGTGCATGTAGCCAATTTTAATGATAATAAAAGTGTAAATCTTACTATTCAAGTTTCACCTGAAATCTTAAATACAATTTTAGATAAGGGGTTTTTGTTTGTCGAATGGAAAAAATGCAGGATTATAGAAACATATGCTATTTCGAGATGCTACAAGTGTTCTGAATATGGGCACATTGAAAAAAATTGCGTTAATAATGTAGTTTGTCCTTTATGTGCTAATAATCATAGACTCAAAGACTGTAACAAAGATGGTACAAAATTACAATGCATCAATTGCCTTAATTACAATAAACGTTTTAAGTCAATTTTAAACTGTGATCACTCTTCAAAGAATCCTAAATGTCCAATGTACGTTAAACAAATAAATTCTATTAAATCAAAAACCCAATATCTTAGTCAATAGCAACTACCCCACACCAAACTTAAAAATATAAAGATTGCTCATCAGAATCTTCAAAGTATAAAAAATAAAATTGAACAATTAGAAGTATTCCTATTCACAGAAAATATTGATGTGATGTGTGTTACTGAATCCTGGTGTACTAATGAAGATATTAATCACATCAAAATTCACAATTTCAACACTATTGGTCATTACACTAGAAGCAACTTTCGTCACGGAGGAATCATAATTTTAGCAAAAAAATGCTTTAAAAATTGTTGTGTCCTTCCAGGCTTCTCGAAATTTAATGAAGAAAAAGTGTTTGAGTGTGCTGTGATTAAAATGGAATCAAATTGTTGTCTATTTTGTATAATTTGTGTTTATAGAGCACCAAGCAGTGATCTAAAATTGTTTTTTGTGAAGTTAGAAGCTGTGTTAAACCTAATTAGTAATAAATATGCCAAGCTTAGATTAATTTTATGTGGTGACTTAAACATAAACTTATTAATTAACAGTGATGCTAAAACAAAGTTACTAGACTTAATTCATTCCTTCAATTTATTTACTGTTTTTAATGAACCAACGAGAATAACAAAAAAATCTCTTTCGGCAATTGATTATGTATGCACAAACTTCAATAATTCATTAACTAGCTTTAGTATATCTAATAATGGTTTAAGCGATCACACTGCTCAAATTATTGAATTCTTAGTTGAAGAAGATAACATCGGAAATAATGTAAATAAAAGTAGATCATTTTCTTTAAAAAATATTGAAGGATTTATTAATTACCTAAAGTTTGAAAACTGGTCTTCAGTTTTACTGGGCGATGAAGATATAAATATAAAATTTCAAAACTTTATTAATATACTGGACTACTACTACTGCATATGCTTTCCAATCCTGAACAAAAAATATACTAATAAAAAAAATAATAATAATTGGATTACTCCCGGTATAATAAAATCATCCAAAAATCTTAAAAAAATTTATAAAGACTTGCAGTGTGGTATTATTAACTTAAGCTATTATAGAAAATACAAAGCCATTTATAGAAAAGTAATAATGTGTGCTAAAAAATTCTATAATGACAGAAAAATTATCAATTCCTCAAATATGTCTAAAACCGTATGGAACGTTATCGACGAAAACATTAAAAACAAAGTAAAAAACAAGAAACCTTTAAATATTAAAACTACAGATGGTCTTACTTTAACTGATAGTAAAGAAATAGCAAATGTTTTTAATGACTATTTTCTTAATATACCCAAAGAAATAATTCAAGGCAATAATTACCAAGAAAAGTTAGACATTAAACTTTCTGGTGTAAACCAAACTATTTACTTAAACGATACTACTGAACAAACTGTTATTAAAATAATTATGAACTTAAAAAATACTAATTCCAGTGGTGTTGATAATTTTTCTAGTTATGTTATAAAGAAAAGTGTTTATTGTATAGCTAAACCATTGTGTTTTTTGGTTAATTTGTGTTTAAATCAAGCAAGGTTTCCAAATATGTTAAAAATATCAAAAGTTATTTGTTTACATAAAAAAGGTGACACCAGTAATCTAAACAATTATAGACCTATTGCTCTACTTTCGATTTTTTCAAAAATTTTCGAAAAAATTATTGCTGATCAAATCATAAGCTTTCTCAACCATTTTAATGTGTTAAGTAATAGTCAACATGGCTTTAGGCAACAGAGATCAACAATCACAGCACTAGTAGATATTATGGATATTATTTATAAAAAGTTAGACAAGGGTGAAAACGTTATGGCGGTATTTGTTGATCTTTCAAAGGCTTTTGATTGTGTTGATCACAACCTTCTTTTGAAAAAAATTGAATATTTTGGTTTGCGTGGTCACTGCAATACTTTGATAAAATCGTATCTAATGAACCGCAGGCAATTTGTATTGTATCATGGTTCAAAATCATCAGAAAAAGAGGTTGATGTGGGTGTTCCCCAAGGAAGTGTACTAGGGCCACTCTTGTTTATATTATACTTTAATGATTTATATAATTATGTAAATTTATTTCATATAGAGTATGCTGATGATTTAACAATGATTGCATCAAATAAAAATGCCGAAAAAATGACAGAAGACTTAAATAATAATCTAAATTCAGTCGCCAAATATTGTAAATCATTTAACTTAGCAATGAATCAAACAAAAACTGTAACAATGGAATTTCATCCATACAGCGCACATTACACAAAGAGTAAATTAATAAAACTAAATTGCAAATCAGTTGAGCAGGTCGCCAGTTTTAAATTACTCGGTGTGCACTTGGATATGTCCTTAAATTGGAAATCACATATTAATGCAGTTTGTAGCAAATGTTGTAGCAATTGTTATGCTTTATTTAGACTGCGCAATATTAGTAGTAGGCAAGTTGTAAAAATATTTTATTTTTCTAACTTTGAAAGCTTACTTAGATATGGAATTATTTTCTGGGGAAATTCATGCAATGTAAATAGACTATTCATCCTACAAAAAAGAGCAATTAGAAGCATGTTTGGAATAAACTTCAGAGACTCCTGTAGAAACATTTTTATCTCAGAAAAAATTATGACACTCTCTTCCTTATTTATTTTTGAAATCTTGAAATTTGTTAAAATAAACTTAACCAAATTTAATTTACAAAATTGTTATCATAATTATCCAACTAGACATGGCAACAATTTACAATATTGCAATCATTCTATGACATTGTATGAATCTAACCCATATTATATTGGAGCAATTTTATACAATAAATTACCTGCACAATTTAAAAACCTTAAAAAAAACAAGTTTTTCTGCAAATTAAAAACTTTACTTTTAAGTAAGGCTTTTTACTCCGTAAATGAGTTTTTAGCCTTTAATTTTTTGGATTGTGTCGGTTAATTTGAGCTCTTTCATTGTTTTATTGTGTTAAATGATTTTTGACCTATCCTATATCTGTAAAAGATCTCTTGGATTAAATAAATATTATTATTATTATTATTATTATTATTATTATACCAGAACTGTTCAAAAAGTGGAGAGTAATTTGCTTTATACCCCAAAAGACTTTTCAGTGATATTTTTTTTATTGTGTACTTAGATATTTTTTCTTGCTATTACTTATATAGTATGATAATAAAGATGATAGGAAAAAGGTGGTAGAGGAAAAGTTTTTATACGAAAAATTGAAATCTTTTTTTTTCAACCCCTAAAATTATAATGAAAATGCATTTTTACCTCCATAACAAAAATTATTAAATTTTAAATTAGGAGTATTTAATAAATAAATATCCAGAAATAGTAAACATTTAAATGCTTTGTTTAAGAAAAACAATGCTAAAAGGTTTATGAAATCATATACAATGTCTATGATAAAAATATATTTACTAGAACTATTTTTTTTACTAATATAAAGGGAATATAAAAAATAAGTATATGTAGTAATAGAGATGCGACTTGAAAAAAAACGGTCCGTTTTTTTTGTTTTTTTTTCATGTTTTTTTTCATTGTTTTTTTTCAAGTGTTTTTTTTTTCACATTTTAGGTTTTTTTTTCAAGATTATAGGTCAATTCTGCGCACATCTGTAAGCATCTATAAGCAAATCTGTAACTTTCTATAAGCTTATAGAAAATTTGCAATTCTGCGCTTCCTGTAGCTTACAGAAAATCTTATAGAATCGTAA